TCATCCTTCAGCTCTAACTTGTTTGAAAGCAACACCAAATACTGATGTGTTCAGAACCATCCTTGGAAAATGTTCACGTTCCCCCGGTGCAAAAGTCGGTATTGGTGGTGGATTGGGCATTGGTCTTCGACTTGGAGGTGGGCTCTTAGGAGCCGTTGGTGGTTTACTAAACGTAGGTTCCTCTTTAATAGGTGGTTTGATAGCAGCAGTTACCTCTCATACATGCTCATCTACAGGTTTACAAGGTATCACAGGCTCATTCATTATTGTCAGCGTAGATTTGACATTACTGACAGCACACAGGGATTCTATTGCATTATGTTTTACCAACCAGTTACGATCATCATCATCTTTAAATATTAGAGCAGTAGTGCAGTTGCAAGGATTCGAACGATTAGCTAATGGTGACTGTCGAGTATCATACACATGCTCCGGAATTGGTCATCATCCTTCAGCTCTAACTTGTTTGAAAGCAACACCAAATACTGATGAATTCAAAACCATCCTTAGAACATGTTCACATTCTTCTAGTGAGAAAGTTGATGCAGGTTTCGAAGTTGACAGAACCGCAGATGCAGATGTTCAGGTTGATGGAAACGCTGATGTCGATGAACAAACTGGAGTTAATGATCAGCTTGACGGTGATGACGACCAAGCCATAGATGAAGTCGATCTAACAGTTGACGATTCAGTGAACATAGATTCGTCTTCAACAGATGGTTCAGTAGCAGCGGTTACCTCTCATAAATGCTCATCTGATGATTCACACACAATTACGGGCTCACTCGTCATTTGCAATGCAGACAAGATAGCACTGACAGGGCAAAAGGATTCTATTGGATCGTGTTTTACCAACCAATTACGATTATCATCGTCTTTGAATGTTAAAGCAATAGTGGAAGTACACGAATTCGAACAGTTAGACAATGGTGACTGTCGAGTATCGTATAGATGCTCAGGTATTGGTCATCGCCCTTTAGCTCTAACTTGTTTGAAAGCATCACCAATTACTAATATATTCAGAACCATACTTGGAAAATGTTCACGTTCTTCTGGTTTGAAAGTTGGTGGTTTACTGAACGTAGGTTCTTCTTTAATAGGTGATTTGATAGCAGCAGTTACCTCTCATACATGCTTATCTAAAGATTCAAAAACAATCACTGGCTCATTCATTATTTCCCATGCAGATTTCGCATTACTAACAGAGCAAAAGGGTTCTATTATATCGTGTTTTACTAGTCAATTACGATTATCGTCATCTTTGAATATTAGAGCAACAGTCCAGGTGAATGGATTGGAACATATAACTAATGGTGAGTGTCGAGTATCTTATACATGCTCAGGAATTGGTCATCATCCTTCAGCTCTAACTTGTTTGAAAGGAACACCAAATACTAATGCATTCAAAACCATTCTTGGAAAGTGTTCGCACTCCAATCATAATGAATGAAATGGTAGTGAGCATGGTGAACGAAGGACACATAAAGTTATAAAGATATAGAGGTTATGTTTCGTATGGTTAAACTGTGTCTTCTTTTTGTCTTCTCTATTTTCTACTATTCTATGGAGATGGTTCAAAGATTTTCTTTCCTTCGTTGCATTCATGTGTTCATTTTAATTTAACTAGAATTTCACTTTTTTTGGTCTATAGAGTTTTTCCAGTTTATTATATATGCACATCCGTGACTTTTTCGGAATAAAGGGTGACAGGTAATATAAACAAGAATCATCTCATTGGAGTAAATAATCAAGCTCCGATAACAGTGGAGAAAGGAGTTAAAATATCAACTGTGTGTAAGAAATGCTTTTGATGTCTTGTGATAATTGATATTTCTTGAACAGAAAGACACTATACATTATAAAGATAGCAAATTCATATTAATGTTTCGTACATATTGCTGCTTCGCTTTATTTCATTTTTATCTATAGATCTTAATTGTATCGTATAACTGACGAAATCTTAAATTTTGTAGAGATGGAAACTACTATTGAGCAATGTGATCTTTCACTAATTGATAGAGACGTCATCAGAAAAAGTCAGGTAGTTCGGCTCAGCCCTCACAATTTTAAATATTATTTTCCGAATACTTCTCGATGTTTCTTTTGATATAGCATAAAGATATCATATATTATTAATTTTTAAAAAAACAGGTTTTACAAAGCTTTTATATTCAGTAAAAGATTTTTTTTCAATGACAGAGCTTTATTTTCATAAAATTCTACTATTTTTGTTAAAGGTGTGGATATTGTTTTAAACATGCACCCACATCCACCCTCATCTTCTATAGCTTCCCTAGAATGAAAAGAGTATTAAGTTATCAAAACATATTCCGACGATTTTGAAACATTTTACCAAGTTATTGATAAAAGAAAAGAAGCAATAACACAAGTGTCGCAAGAACGTGATCCATGCGATTGCTTCGAAAGTATATTGCAATATTTACTGTAATTACTCAAGAGTTGTGAAAATAGTGACAATTTGAGAGAACAGCAAGTTATTTTCATTTGTAAGTAACATCAAGCGACGAGATGGCTAGAGGATGTGGGTGAGTGGGAAATAGAAAAATAACTCCACACCCACATTATCATTATGCAATACAATATTAGAAATCATGTTTAATTTTCAAAACAAACTCTTATTTAATTAACAATATTATCGAGCAAATGCTCTATTTTTGTTTGTTTCTTCAATAAAAAAAGTAACGTTATACATTCTATTGCCTACAACAACTGTCATTCGAAAGACAAACAATAATAATGAATGTTATATTTTTTTTAATTGACAGCAACTGTTGGTATTGCATGTATTTCTGCTTGTGGTCTAATTATTGTTCCACGTCGTATTTCACCCCAACCAATTAAACGAAAGCTTTGACCAACACGACGACTTAAGGCTATTTTTTCGGATACTTCGGTACAAACTGGATTAGTCAATTGAATTTTAGCTAATTCACCTTGTACATCTACTACACGACCACCAGTACAAAATGATCCAATATTAACCATTAATATTTCATGTTTAGTTAATCTAGCAACCTAAAAAAAAATAATTCTTGAAAATTGAAAATTTATTATAGAATTAAGAACAAACCCTTGCACCTCTCCTATCACCTTCAGTTCTTACACCAACAAGACGTTGAAGAAGAAAATAAGTTATTTGAATTTGTGAATAAATGTCTGGTAATGTTCCAACTTCACCAAGTACTTGACCAACAAGGCGATCAGAACGACATAGAGTTGGATCAATTTGTGTACCAACACCAATAAGTCCACCAGGTACAGCAAAAGCAAGATCGTTCTGTTCAGAGTAAAGTGAAACAATTTTTGATAAAAGTGGACGATATTGAAGACGACCTTCATTATCTTTTGATACAATACCAGGTCGAACTTCAATTTTTTGACCAACCTAATATATTATATATATATATTCCATTTAAATCGCTATTCATAAATTAATAGAATATTTCTTACTTTAAAAACACCTTTTAGAATGCTACCACCAGCTACACCACCTTTCAGATTGTGAACTTCGGCACCGGGTTTATTCACATCAAATGAACGAATAACTAGTGATAGAAAGAAAAACAAAAAGCTAAAAGAAAACAAAAAATCATTGTTTCTTATACTGATCAATCTTGGTTTTGATGTGAAATCACGTATTGGTATTGGAATTTTTCGTGTAATATATTCACAAATAACGTCAATATTGTGTTTAAGTTGTGCACTGATTGGAATAATTGGAGCACCTTCAGCATTTGTGCCTAGAAGAAAAAATAAAATAAGATCATCTTCTATTTTTATTCCTAACAAGATATAATAAGTAACCTTTAACAAAATCTATAATCTGCTGATATTGTTCTTCTGCTTGAACTTTTTTAACAAGATCAATTTTATTTTGTAAGATCAATATTGAATTTAATTTCATTATATCAATAGCTGCTAAATGTTCAGATGTTTGTGGTTGTGGACACATTTCATTAGCAGCTGAAAATTAATATAGAAAAAAGACAAATTTTCTTTTTGTGAAATTAAAAAATATATTTTACCAATAATTAAAAGAGCAGCATCCATAACAGCGGCACCACTTAACATAGTTGCCATCAGAACATCGTGACCGGGACAATCAACAAATGAAACATGTCGAACAAGACGAAATTGACCACCACATCCAGTTCGATCACATGGAAATACATCTTTTTTACTTGAACCAGTTGAACGAAAACGTTCTGGTCGAGGACATTTCTCATTGTCACATTCGAATATCTATTTATATATGAAGTTTTATTTAAATAAAACAATATTCTTTAGTTTACTTTAACATTAGCATAACCTAATTTCATTGTAATATTTTGTTCTTTTTCTTTTTTAAAACGAACTGTTGATACTCCAGAGAGAGATTTTACGATTGTTGATTTACCATGTGCGACATGACCAATCGTACCAATATTAATTGTTGCTTGTCGACTAATTACTTCAGGTGTCAATGGCGATAATTGACTTGGATTCTAAATACAAAATAAAAACATACAGAAGATATTCAAAAAGATTTATTGGTTTATATTATTGACCATATTAGCTATAGTTTGTTTGGCCAAATGAGGTTGACCAACCGTCTCATATGCAGTCATGATTGATTCTATATATTTTATTTATGAGTTCTATTAAATATTATATAGCTATATATATATAATATTCTGAAAGCATATCGATGAATTACGAAAGTCATCCACGTATACCGCTATTGGTCGACTAAAATATTGCATCATCCAATTTTTTTAAAATGATGAAACAGCAAAAAAAAGGAAATTTTTTTGACGTGCTTCCGGGGCAAACATGAAATGGTGAAAACGGTGTTTGTCTGTAGAATTTCATCATTTTAACTAGTTTTCACAGTTTATTTTTAGGTAGACTGGGAAAAAACTTAAAAACGTCTCTTTTTCGTTTTTCTCAAAAAACGACGCGTTTATAACAACAATTTTTCGTTCTGTGTGATTCATGAAAAATTGTATAACTATTTTGTAGAAAATGTATGATGCGCGTTATCACTCACTAATTATCAGTTAGTGATAGTTGGTTATTTTCTTATCCAATAATACTTTGATTTAATGAAAATATCTGAACGAGAGAAATAAGAATTATTATTAATTGAAGAAATAAATTAGTGTCGAATACGTAATCGGTAGCAGATGACTAACAAAAAATAAACATTTAGGTTCGCTATTCATTATCAATATCCAGGAATTTTCAGTGAAGAAAAATCTTTCTTCTAGCAACAGATAAAACTAAAGTCTAACGAGAAGTATAATAACCGTAGCGATGATGCTATCAGTGCGTGTCTAGGGTCTTTAAACATGTTATTAGTAGACTTTTTTTCAACGATGTTTTAGTATTCCAAAAGTTCCGTAAATATAATATTGTTCTTTGTTATTATTTAATTAGAACAAAAAACCAAGTCTTTCTATCATCAGCTGCAGTAGTATTACTATGGACTGCTGTGCTAAACAACATCAATCTCTTGATACATCCTTTATTCATTATCTTCTTATAAATATACTTCCAATAAGTGGTATTATATATTGACTTGCTCAATGATCAGTTTAAGATGATCTTACTCGATATTACTTTACTTTTCTTGTGAAACTCAGCTCTTGTTTAGTTGTATTGGGTGAACTTTATTAACTGGTGAACGAGTAATATTACTGATAAAATGGTATTTAAAATTATTTCTTTTAATTTTTTTCTAAATCATAAGTATGTGAATACTTGTCTAATTCAACTTGTAATATAAATGAAACGGAAAAAAAAATTCATCAGCGCACTTCATATCGATAAAAATTATTTTATCGCTTTCTCGTTTATTTCATTATTTATTTTCGAAATGAGAACAATCTTCTGATGTTCATTTATATTATAAGTCGAATTAGACATCTCATGCCGACATTCGTTAACACAATAAAAGTTTCAACAAATCTTAGTGTTACAGATCGTTAACTGTTTAAACACGTTTTTTGGCGACAAATTCAACATTTCTAGCGAACGAAATAATTCGATATTTGCCTGGACTGTATATCAAAAGCACATTAGATAGAGAATAGAATGGATGTGTCATCAGTGAAGAGCAACACTGATGATTTTTATGTTGTTAAAAGCGCAGGATACTCAACATTTGAGCTGAAGGTTAGTTTTACATTACGTGAGTCCTTTACTTATCATAATTCGTTTATTATACAAAGAGCAAAAAATCAATTTAAATTGATTGTAAGTTTCTAGGCTCTCAAGCAACGAAATAGATCTAGGCTATTGAGAAAACATAAAGAACGTGAAAAAGAGAAGAAAAGGGCGCCCTTTTACTATGATAAAAAAGAAAATGATAAAATATGCCTGTTATATTTGTCTAACATAGTTGTTCGGTACTTTTATTATTTAGTGTAAGAATGACAGAACAGGAGAAGAACAATGTTGAAATCGTCAAAGAATATATGCAAATTAGGTGAATATCTTCTTCTTTAGCGAATATCTAAATGTTGTGTGAAAAACAACAAATGGTGATAAAAATATATCGTTAACTGTGTCTACATAAAGCATAATTAATAAGTAAACAATATCCATTTATAAATTTATCACTTTCAAGATGATCAAGACTATATATTGTAGTATAAGAATCTTTTTTTCTGGAGACTACTTTCAATTTGGAGAGATCAAAAATCGTTGTTAGTTTGTGAAAAATTATCTCAAAGTTTCTCTCAAACATTTTTTAACTTATCTATATTGGAAGTTAGTATATGAGATCTTTTGATTCTTTCATACAATTTGCAAAAGTAACTGATAATAGAAAGTCATTTTTAGGAAAAATTATTGCCTTAGTAGAAAAGGAACTGAACATGTTCTTGTTTAGTTATGATCCGAAACGAGCTACAGCTCAAAATGTTGCTCATCTTTTGGCTATCGACAACAAGTTTATTGCTCCGACTACCTCTCCTGGAGTATACAACTGTGAAGCATATACTGAAGAACAGAGAAGCAAGTATATGTTAGACACTTTTTGAAATTTTGATAGATTCTTTTGATAGAATTAATGAAAAGTATTAACAATTTGCACATCATTACTTTCGATTACATTGCAGCCAAAGATGATCAAGTTTCTTTAAGATATTCGATCGAGGGCAGTCACAATGGAGAGCCTTACAAAGGTAAGTAGAAATTCTTCTTATATTGACTGCCACATGCATTTTTGACCAGGTATTAAGGCTACGGGATACAAAGCCAAATGTACTGCTGCTGGTTTATTCAAATTGGAAAATGGCAAGATTACATTGTGAGTTTGTGTAAAAATGATTGAGACTTTTTGATACATCAGGCAGCAATCTCTTGACGAGATATATAGAAAGTGAACATACTTTTTCACAAACACAAATCGCGAGAATTATTTATTTTTGTACAGCAATTTTTATGTTTAGATTTATCAAAGAATGGGACAAACTAGCTATGTGGAAGCAACTTGGGTTCCCACTTAACGAAGCCACTGCAGTTAAAATTGATAGCATTACATCGTTTTTGGTAACACCGCCGTCGTTGATGAATACATGTATCGAGAATATTCGACATTACTTGCATGCACAACCTGAATTGTCCAATCAGGAAAAGCACACCGCCGCATTCATTGTCAATTGTTTACAAGAAAGTGGTGCAAAGCGCATCATTACTGGATTGGGTGGGTATGGAGTTGCTGGAGTATTCAGTGGACTTGAAACGGGAACAAGAGTAATGCTACGTGCCGAACTCGATGCTTTACCGATTAGTGAAAGAGGAGAAGAACGAGAATGGTGTTCGCAAAATGAGCATGTCGCTCATAGTTGTGGTCATGATGGGCACATGGCCATATTGCTTGGTATTGCTAAACGACTTGCCTGCACGCCTCCTACTCGTGGCGAAGTGGTGTTACTCTTTCAGCCTGCTGAAGAGATTGGAACTGGTGCGAGCGCTGTGATTAACAGTGAAAAGTTCGATACGTCACTGTATCCTGATGTTGCTTATGCTCTACACAATCAACCTGGGCGTCCCTTCGGCGAGATATCAATAAGAGAAGGAGCATTCGCTTGTGCCTCACGAGGTATGATTGTAAGACTCTACGGTCGCTGCTCTCATGCTGCTCATCCAGAACAAGGATTGAGTCCAGTACGTACGATGCGTCACTTGTTGGAAGAGTTAGAACAATTGCCACAGCGCTTGTTTCCATCCGAAGATCTTCGATTAGTGACAGTAGTTCATGCACAATTAGGTGAAGTGAGATTTGGTACAACACCAGGTGAAGCAGTAATAATGGTCACATTGCGAACAGCCACCGATGCTTTGATGCAACCACTTGTAGAGGCTGCACGTGAATCAATTGAACGAATGACTCTAGAAACAGGACTAACCTATGATATTGAGTTTCAAGATGTCTTTACCGCAGTATTTAACGATGAACAGGCCACAAAAGATGTCATTCATTGTGCACAGAAATGTGGGAAAATGTTATCAGTATTGCAGGCGCCGAATCGTTGGTCAGAAGATTTTGGTGTTTATTCTGCTGTATGCCGTTGTGCTATGTTTCTTTTAGGTGCGGGTGAAGCGACGTCTGTTCTGCATGATTCAGCTTACGACTTTCCCGACGCACTTATTGAACATGGAGTGGAAATGTTCTGGGCATTGTTGAACGAACAACGGTTGTTCGACAACTGAGAAGAAACATAATTGACTTAAGCGCAATCATTAACACTTTTAGATTTTTTGTCTTTTTAATAGAAAAATAATTTTAATTAGAAAATAAATTCACCAATTCTTAGCACAATTTGAGACTTTTTTAAGTTCAATATATTCCTTTTTTGTTCTTCTGAAGGTATTCTATTGGATGTGAGTGTGTAATAACACCCATTTTAGAGAATTTGGGCTCTGGTCGTCGATGCATCCTAAAATGCTCTTTCAAACAAAAACCAAAGCAAATATATAGAGTGAACCTCTTCTAGAAATTCAGGGTTGCAAAATATGCTATTGTTTACCCTGCATTGGCGAACATATCCTGAAAGTTTTATGCAATTTGAACATTTCCGGGTCGAAATCGGTTTATGAAGAGGCGAGATGACCTTAACTTAGTCGATGATTCATTCTGCTTTGATTGAATGAATATGTTGAAGGTGTTGCACGTATAATAAACTTATCAATTCATTTTAGATATTTATATGAGTTACGAAAAACAGAAGAAAGTCACACCCATCCTCAAGAGAATAAGTATGATTATTTAATTTTCGTATTATTAATTAGAATAAAAAAGAGAGATTTGTAAGCATGGAGTACATAGGCAGACATAGCAAAGAAATAGCAAGAAAGGTTTATTATATTTTTTGATATTTATCGTGTTCACTACAATGATTAGAGAAGAATTTTGAAAGTAAACATTAATTATGACAAGATGATTGTCATATATCATATGATCAATCGATACTCATATTCGGATGTTTGATCTTCGTTCTTCGAAGTCATTTAAGAATTATTTCTTTGATCGACTTTTAACTGTAGGTAATTTCTTCGTATTTGTCGAACGATGGATAGGTTTTGCATGCTGCTTATTTAACAATACGTATGGTGGTGATCGTGTCGATGGCGGCGGCGGTGGTACTAGTTCTTGAATAGTACTAACGAAAGTTTCTGATGATTTTGATGAATGGTCTGGATGAACGACGTTGGAATGTTTCTCAACGAAGGTTCGGATATGATGAAACATAGGCAAAAAAATCAATTTGATGGCAAGATATACAAGACCAAACAATTCTATACACACCACGGTAAAAAGAAGGGCATGAAAAATGATTTCTGCTTGTTTTACAATAGGTTTTTGATTATTCATAATGTAATAGGACATTTCTGTTGTTGAAATTGTGAGAGATGTTTTTAATAGACCATAGTATAGATATTCGTCGAATGTTAGAAAGAGATCTGATTTACTAGTGGGACTTGTTGGAGCCCATAGAGCCGTGTAATATTTTGAACTGGCGTCATCAAGCGGTTCAGTTTTGTTGATGACACGAGTTAAACGAATTTCAACATTTGGATCATAAGATAATGTTTGATTATTAACAAAAAATGGTTGACTATAATTGAGCTCACGAATCATATAATTATATTTGCCATCTGTATTGCTTGTCTCATGCTGTTTACCATATAAACTAATGCGAAAGCCACCAATTGTTTGAGCATTCTGAAAATTATAGTTCATAAAAAAAGTGTGCGATTGAAGAACAATTGAAACAGAAAGCATGGATCGATAATAAGTGCAATTAAATGCTATTGTTTTCGGATTGCCATGAATAGTTTGTATAACCTGTAGTTGATTACATTTTTGTTGTGTATTGATAAAATCAATAGTAAGGATAAATTGTTGTTCATCGAGCAATTTAAATATTGGTTCATCATCTTCAGGAACTGGTGTCGTAAGAGATTTGAGTTGTGTTTCAAACTGAGCATTTCGAATTGTTGTATCACATATAAATGCTGATGGTGATACAGTTTCAATTGGATATTGTTTTAGAAAAGCACTACTGAATGTGTAAGCGAATATAAGTAAAACAATGAGAGCAAGAGAAGCAAGTCCACCGACCCATACCTCTCCTTCTCTTATAAGATCAGCTTGACGAAAAATACGCTTAAGTGTATGACGAACTTTTGTATATTGTTTGCAGAATTTGAGAAAACCCATAAAAATAATAATCATCATAGCAATACCAGTCATAATCATTGACCAGAAAAGTGGTGAAATAATTAAACAACTAGATGAATTACCAAAAGTAAACATATTATTAATAAGAATATCATCAATATTTGTTGTATCTGGAGATTCAGGATAAGCTAGTTGATCAAAAACAAATATATTTAGATCTGAATAAGTATCATTGGTAGTCGAACCAAGTGGACAAAATGAATTATGTTCAGTGCAATTATACGGTGAACATTCGATACTTCCTTCAGATACACTCATTGTTCCAAATGGACATAAATAACAAATGTAAATACCAATCCAATCTTTATAGGTACCTGCAGGGCAGGACTTTGGAATGGAGAATGCAGGATTAAAACCGATAGTAACGCTTGTGTCTGGATAAGTTCCCATTGGAGCTCCTACAATCACATATATTTGTCCGGATGAATCAAGAAATGCAACGCTAAGTGTTGCAACAGCAATAGTAAGTAATTTTGGTTTGAGTTCAATCCATTGAGGACATTGAATTGTAGGAAATAGTGGCATGATCGGATTGGATGAACGAAATTGTTCTGGAGTGAACCAGTAAATAATTGAAGTTGACCATGTATAAGGAAAGGAATATGTATTTCCTAATAAAATAGGATATGGACCGTCAACTTCATTACTCCATCCTAAACTTTGTCCGTATCCACGTTGATTTCCATTTTCGCGATATGCTAACAAAGTCAAATTTGTCATCATAGAAAACCAAAAGACGATGCTCATAGATGCCATGCCAACCAGTACTTGTGATGTATTAGACTCGATAGACACACTCATAATATGTTTTTCAGTATAGTAGCCTGCGTCGGTATTCGGTGTTGTCGCTTGCCACGAGCTGTTCGATGGTGTATATTCCCATGTATCAAGAACACTCAACGAACTAATATTCAACATTAAGATATAGACCAAAGGCTTGTAGATATTTTGTCCTTGAGTAAAAAAACCAGCTATAACAGCTACATAATCATTGTTAACATCGATAGCATGAGGCATAAAATTAGAAATGGGCCATTGTTGTAAATAAGTAATAGTGTGCGTTTGCAAATCGTAACTGAAGGCAAATCGACTCGAGAATCCATACGCTCGTTGACCTGTTGGATCAATACCAACCACAAAAAATTCATCATGTCCTGATGAATTAAAGTATTGAATATCATATGTAGCCGTACACGATGAGTTTACACGTAAATGTCCAATGAATGGGTATGGTGATGTTGAATAATCATCGTTCTCACCAATAAAAATCACCGATGCATCTTGGGAGGCTTGTTTAGGTATCACTAAACTGTAGATAAAATTGTTATCACTCGAAACGATTCCTACATAATCAACATAGCATGGTGATGATAAATTAGACGTGATAAATGGACCGAATTGCAAAACAAATCGAGCATCTTTGTTACGCGCTTGTACAACTACATCGTCATTAATTGCCAGTTTTACACCATATGCATCAAAACTATTCCAATTGTCATTGGTGAAAGTGTATGATGATACTAATTGTACAATATGTATGAAAAAATACAATCGACAATAGCACATATTATATTAAAACATACTATTAAAACACGTCTTTTAACTTTCAAGAATAAAGTTGAGAAAAAGTATATGATTGTACTTCGGTATTTATTAGTATCTATTGTCAATATTTTCTTGAAATTAACAACAAGAAACTGAACGATTTGTTTGTTTGTTAGTAAATAATTAGAGAGTCAATATTTCAGAATCAAACAACTAGAACTCATTAGTAGAATATATACTAGAAGTTTTTTCTTTAAAAATGTCAATATTATTCTATGTAAGAAGTAATTACTTTCGACTAATGGCTATAAAAAATTCACATCCTGGAGTAGAAACCGATCTGTACTCAATTAGATCATATCTCTACAATGTAAATATGATTGGGTGAAAGAACATAAGAAATAATACAATATAGTGTGCTAAATCTGCCTGATGAGACATGTGATGATAATTACAGGCGTGTGTAGGACAAAAATTAATTTGTAGTTGCACCATACGTACGAGATATGATGGTTGAACATGCTGTTGATTAGTAACTTTTTTTTTAAATTAATTCCATTCTTAATTATAAATATTATTAAAAATTCGTATGTATTATATTCTCTATTAGTAGAGGATAAATGGTTGAGTGAGCATGATTTCTTTTTTCTTTCCTTTAAAGGTGATATAGAAGAGAAAAAGAAACATAACCTAAGTGAATCATTAGAACGTTAGAAATTCGACCATGTGCAAGAAGCTATATTTATTCTTCATATGAAATGTGTTGATAAAATCTAAACAATTATCTATTTATTATAAAAAAAAATTGTTTTAAGAAACTAAAATTATTAATTTAATTAAAATAAATTCATATTATAAATAAATTTAGATATTTGATAAATATGGATATATTAATGTACTTAGATAAAATTAATTTTTTTCTATTTATTGAAATTTATTATAATATATTTAATATTAAATAAATGAATTATATTGATAGTCATATAAAAAACAAGATTGGAGGTTATTTTAAGAATCGTCAATATCTTTATTCAAATAATAGTTTTTTTTTAGTTAATCGAAAATATCTGAAATGTTGATTTCTATTAAGAATCTTTTATCGGAATAGAAATATATTAACAAACTAATATTAATCAAGAATGATTCATTATTCTTTAAATTAAAGAAACATTTAGGTGGTCAGTAGACTAAATGAAACGGTCAGTAAAATTATTGAAATGGTCAGTAATTAATTTGATAGGTCCATAATAAAATTTAAACGATCAGTAAATAAAATGAAATGGAAAGTAAAAAAATATAAACTTGTGCAAAGATGTACTACTTTTCTTTTTTTACTGACAAAAATCATATTTTCTCACTGCTACTTCCACAAAATCTATTCACCACTTTTGAATTGTTTACTGATATTTCAATTATTTTACTGACCGCAGAACATATTCCCATTATATTTATCAAGAAAAGTGGTTAAAAGTTTTCTTCAGTAATAATTAATATCAGATGAAAATATATTTGTTATCGATTATTTATTATTTCATAGAAAATAAATAAAATAAAAAGAAAATATTTTTTTAAATAAACTAATGAAATAATAATAAAATAATTGTTTTATGATATGTTCTAATGAGATCTCGGTCGTTAAAGTTGTGATTAATAAATAATTATTCTTTGTCAATAAAATTTGTAAAATTAATTTAATAAAAAAACAAACGAAATAAAAATGTTTTTATATCATCAACAACTATCAATGATAAATCTATCGAATAAAAAATTAATATTTAATTTTCATAATGTTTAGATAACAATATTCGTCGGAATGTCTGAAGAAATAAGAAAATTTCTTAAATATAAATAATATTCATCGGCGGAGGAGAGAGAAAATATATATCAAGAGGAAAGAAATAAAAACAGGAAGTAGCGTAGAAAAAGATCACGTATTAATGAAATGAACGAGAAAGGTGTCCGCCTATTTCTGGATCCTATCGTTTCCATCTGGAGAAAACTGTATGACTACTTGTAAAATGAATTAACGATATTTATTGAATGATAATGTTTAAAAAAAACAAAATGAAAAGAAATAAAATACAATTGGAATTCTGTTTTATCTTAATTATAGATATTGATGTATTAAAAATTAAAAAAAAACTCCATAACGACGATAAAGATATATTAAGTTAATATTTGTTTATTGATAGAAAATCTCTTTTTAAATGATTTGATAATCAATTCTCTTGTTTCTTCGAACAGATTGGTGAACAAATAATTTAGAGAAGATCTTTTTTAATAAAAATTTCGGCTAAAACTATTTAACTGATATATTACAAATATAAACAATTCTTAAATAAATAAATGAAATTTTAATATTTAATATATTTTCGTGTAATATAAATTTATTTATATAAGAACACAAAAAATGACGAAGAAGGAAACATTTAAAAAACAATTTAGTTTTTTTTTATTTATTTCAAGAACTGAATATAAAATAAAGATTAAAATATTATTTTTCAAATTTCAATTATTTTTATATTTTATTCACATTTCATTGATTTGCATTTTAACCTAAAACAAATAATGAAAAGAATTTTTTAAATTTATATTTCTTCCGAATTGAGATGAAATATAAACTTAAGAGAAAAAAACAAATGAAAGAATAATTCATTGATTTCTCATTAATATTTATATATCATTTTATTCAATGTGATCTTTTTTTTAACTTATGAAAAAAAATTTCATGTTTGATACTATAATTATCATCGATTTAGTAAATTGAAATTATTAAACAAGATAAAACACTCTTAGTTGATATTTTATTAATAAAGAAATAATTTGATATTTTAGAAAATCTAATATTGAATTTTTGAGTGGAATTAAATCGCTGAAGCCAATTTTTAAATTTCTAATGTGACTTTAAAATATATTTTAATAATTACTCATAAGGAAATATGTATAGAATTATTTTCGAACTAAGATTTATTCATAAAATAATCGTATTTATGTAAAATAAAATAACCATTTTAGATACTCAGAGTGATCATAAATTTAAATATCTTTTTCAGACATTAGCCAAACTGTTTATATAGACGCTCGAGAATGTCTCTCATTTGAGTGGGATTATGTACAGATAGATACAATGTCTTTACAATATATTATTCTTGTGCAATATAATAATCGTCACTGAAGGGATATCGCCTTCGTTTTGTGTTGTAATACTTTTTTCATCTCCTTGTGTTATAACCTCGATCGTTATATGTGCATATTCGTATCAACTTCTGTTCTCTTCTCTTTTCATGCGTAACAAATAACCTATTAAAACTACGATATACATATGTATGAAAGAAAAGAATAATACAACTGGACTATGAAGTAGTGCCGTGAACATTATATACCGAGTATCTCGGTATCACTACTCCACTAGTTTATCATTGTGTTTACAATAAAATAAATAAACGACGCAGCGGTAATGAATATATATCCGCGTCGTTTTCATAAATTCATTATACCCTCTATTATGGTAAACTTTATATTTCATTTTTAAAATATTTTATTTAAAGCATTTTCAAAGACGATGACAACACGGGAAATATTTTTTAATTAACTCATTAGATTTTATTCATAAAAAAAGATTCTGAATAAATACATACTAATGACTGAAGATAAACGATCATATTTAATGAAAAACATAATTAACTTAAAAATTTGTTTATGTAGGACATTTTGAAGGATAATGAGAATACGAAAAATAGTCTATAATTAACTCATTAAATCGATATCGATGAAAATAATGCGCAGTAATACATACTAATGAGCATCATGAGATTTTATTTTAATTTTTATCAATGAGAGTAAAATTTTCTTTAGTTATTTTAATTTTAATAAAAAAATATATAAATTTTTGATCTTAAATAATAATTTTCAATCTAAAGACGTATTTGAAACTTGAGTAATAAAATAAAATATAAGTGAATTTGTATTCTAGTTATGTTAAATAAACAATATTAGAACAAAATTTATGTAGAATATCAATGTATATAATGTTAGAAAAAGAAGAAAGTTTGTTGCTAGGTTTTGTTTTTGTTTGCAGTATTAGTAATAAGTTAAAAATGATCCTATTAGATCGAAGATATCTTTTTTTTCTATTAAAGTTCAAAGTTGCTACATTAAGTTTAGCTTTCAAAGAAAAGAATTAAAAAATCTCACGGTTACGTTTATATTCTTTATCTATAATTACATTAAAGTGGTATGTACATTTTAATTAATAAATATAAAACAGTTAGTACTGTTGTATTTGATCTGAAGATTACAATAAAACTTTCATAGAATTATACAATTACTGATGTTTAAGTGTTGATGGTGACAAAAAAGAAGATTTGTTTTTGTTTTATAATATGTAAGTTAAATGTGATCGTTTAAAATCGAGTATTCTCATATTTATATTAAAACTAAAAGAACTATGGAAAGAGTTACTTTCATTTAATATTTTTATCGAGGATATTTTCAAGGACGAAATATATATGAAAAACATTTTTTAATTAACTCATTAGGTAGATATTGGTGAAATGGATTATGAATAAATACATACTAATGACTGAAGATAAACGAGCATATTTAATGAAAAACATAATTAACTTAAAAAGTTGTTTATCTAAGATATTTCGAAGGATAATGAGAATACGAAAAACATTTTTTAATTAACTCATTAGGTAGATATTGATGAAATGGATTATGAATAAATACATACTAGTGACTGAAGATAAACGATCATATTTAATGAAAAACATTTTTTAATTAACTCATTAGATTTTATTCATAAAAAAAGATTGTGAATAAATACATACTAATGACTGAAGATAAATGATCATATTTAATGAAAAACATAATTAACTTAAAAATTGTTTATGTAGGACATTTTGAAGGATAATGAGAAAACGAAAAAACATTTTTTAATTAACTCATTAAATCGATATTGATGAAAATATTATGCAGTGGTAAATACTAATGAGCGAAGTAAATAGATATTAGATAATTGAAAACATGATGACTGGCAAGAAATATTTTAAGTATAGAAATCTATTCGTTCAATTGAGGATTAAAAAGAGAAAGTAATTATTTGTGTTTGTTTGATTGGGTGATACTGAATAAGAGTAGATATGAAAGAAATTTTCGTTAGAAATTATAAAGAAAATTCAAAAATCATTGTTATGTCTAATTTGAACATGAATTGATGCCAACTCACCATGAAATATGTTTTATATGAAAAGCACAGTAATCGAACTCGGTTGGTGAAAATCATAGAGCAAAAATATATTTTTTGCGTAAACGAGCAAGTAATTATAACAATATATGAAATTGAAATAGCTAATCTGATAGGAAAATATTCCATGATCCATAAAAGTTAAATGTCAAATGTATTTTATAATCAATTATTTTCATCTAATCAATAAATTCAACAACAAAAATGGGAGTTGAGTGTCTTTGGAAGTGTTATATAGTAAAAAATTACAATCATCACATCTTTTGTGTTTTCATCTATTTCAAGATTTTTTCATAAAATATGCCAGCATTCTAGAAAATAAAGTTCACATAGCAATCGATACGAACCAAAACAGAGGTATCATATATAAGCAATAAATTAAAAGCTACGGCGTTTGTAACATTTTAGCATTATAAGTACGTTTATCTAACGAAAGCATTTGTTACAATAGGTGTTGATTATTTAAAAGATAATTAAAATACTCTGTACAAATATATTCACTGTTAATTTTAAATTTTGATTGTGTCCAAACCAACGTTAGTTCACATTGAACCGATGATTATTCTAAAAAAAACTTAATACGGATCTCAGAAAAAAGTCAAGTGCCCAGGAAAAACCAGCTTTTGGCACTAGAAGATTTTTTAGCTAGGGGAAAAATTCTAAAACCGGAATTTTCGTGGTAATCATTGGCGCAACGTAAAACTGCAGAGCAAAAGAATGACTATTCAGCCATGACTGCGCTCATGAAAGATAAAACGAAAAGGAAAACAAAACAGAACGCAAAAAAAAAATAGAAACAAAACAAGAGAGACCGATTGAGAATAGCACACAGTATATAAGAAGTGGACATTACTGATATTGTCACATTCAATAATATAGAATTGAAGTATAACAAGAAAAGGTAAGCATCATTTATATTACAATCTATCAACTGTGAGAGTAGAGCAAAGCGAATATTTTAAGTTATTGACACTTAGTAAAAACCCGTGACAACTTTTGTCGTATCTTAATGAATATAGGCTTACTTGACTCCATGTATTAATTCACTACATCTTAGATTTTAACGTTTAGGGTATATACCGAAGATATTAAAACAAAAAAAACTTATTATTGTTCTATTAAATGCACTTTTAATTTGATAGAATTAGCTAAATTCAATATAAATCTTGAGGGTTTGGGTGCAGATGGAAGAAATCACACCGATTCCACTCTACACTCACACCAACACCCACCCTTTATTCGTATAAGTACCGCTAATAGTGAGCAGTATCAAAAGTTTTAACGAATTTCAAACACACAGAAATAGTTCTAGTTTTCATGATTTAAACTTTTGTCAAAATATCAAACGTTTTTTTATGATATGGGTGTATGTAGGCACAGGATAGGAGAAGGTTTATATCCACACCCATCCTAGATATTCTTGTATAAGGAAGAGACATATTTATATGCTAACTTGAACTAGTCAATAATGTATATTGTCTTGTGTTGATTCAGGTGTGAACAGCAACGATGCCTGCTATTCAAGAGGCAAGGATAAATGAGCATGGCCTAAGAGCGTGGTTGCGCGGACGGTGAGTGCTTGCTATCCTTTTTTTACACAATACATAGTAGTTTCGGTTGTTTTGCAGGCAAGAGTGGTTAGGATGCCTACTTGCTAGTTGCTTTACTACAAGTGGTTTAATCACGATAGGTTGCGTCGTGGTTATCAGCTTGATTCCAGTATATCTTAGCAAACATGGTGGCACAATAACGAACACGAACAAAGGTGAGTGAACGATAATAACTTTATAGAGCTCTTTATTTTTCGATCATTCGTCATCGTAGGGACGGCATTGGAATTGGCGTTCGCGTCGGATTATTCGGTACCATCGGGTAGTACGCGGCCAACTGTCGAAAATATGCAAGATTTGGCAAGACAGGTAAGCTTCTATCGTTTTACAAATAGAAACAAGAATAATATCGTGAGTGATGTATGAAGTTTTTGATTTCCAATAAAAGAAAGATCTTTCAAGCCCGTATTAGTTCTATCTTCGGAGTACTATCATCTGGTTTATGGCGACTTTTAAGGAGATGTAAAGGATTTTAGCTATCGCTTTCGATTTTGTTGGATAAGAATAACTCTTTTTTGCTCTTTCTAGGTTGAGAAGGCGGCCGGAATCGATGCAGGTACATTAACAGCAACCAATGCTGAATTCGCTAATCTACCAGAAACTCGTCGACGCCGAAGGTAAGTGATTTTTATGCATATATTATCATGTAGTAAATATCTTTAAATCTATATTAGTACATCTTCGTGTGATGCGAGCGGGAATACACCGTTGGCAGGTGACTTCCTCCAAATTATTTTCGCGGTAACATATCCAAAACGGTGTGGCAACTCAATTGCAAGCACTTGTGCGACAAGATTCCTCACGAATATCACCATTGCCATTCGTGGTCTTACTGTTTTGAAGACAACAATCCTACTAACAGGAAACGAACCAATCGAAGTACAGCTCGCGATTTGCTCAGTGACAAGTCGAGTTACAAGTAAGGTTTCTTTCTTTGTGTACTACTACTCTTGGCTTAGTAGAATATACCACTTTTTCTTATTTGAAAATGACAAGAAATGTGTACCCATTTATCGGTACTCATCTTTTTGTGTTTTTTATAGCCCAAACCTGCACCGACAACGTTCACAACGAAGATGAAACGGATGTCGATTGCGGAGGTCGAATTTGCTCAGCGTGTGCGGATATGAAGAGCTGTCTCGTAAACGCAGATTGTTTAAACAACAACTGTAATGCAACAACGAAAACATGTTTATGTGAGTCCAATAGAAAGAGGATGAGTGTGGTTGTGAGTGAATGAGACAGAATTCTAACTATCACCCAAACCTACCGACGCCTATACCTCACGCTCAAGAAAAAGTTGTGTAGTTTTACGAGTTATTATGAATTATAAATTTACACTAACCAAAATTCGGCTCAAAGTTTTTGCGTCTTTTTTTATTGCTTTGTTTCATTGTTTGATATAACTTGAGTCAGAAAATGTTCAAAGGTTCAGCTCAGTCGAGTTTGAAATCTAGTGTGACGAAAGTATCGTGACTCTGCGAGTAGACTTATATAGTTTTGACTGAATCGTCTAGTCCCACGGGGATTCAGTCAACTGGAACTCCCGCATATCTAATTATTGAATTACTGAACAATGCAAATAAAACCTTACCTTTTACTTCTCCTCCATATTAAAGAACATGACAAAAAATAGTGTCCTCAATACTTTCCTAGGTGTTTATATGTTGTAAATTCCTGATTATCAACACTCATCAAAGGAAGACTTCTTAAGATTAAGCTGTGAACTTTTCCAACTATCTGATCTTTAATAAATTCAGCTTCTTAAGTGATTTCATACCATTCTCTTGCGACACCGGTCACGTTCTCGACTTTAAAAGATAAATTTCTCTCATCAGTTCTTCGAATTAACTGACATTTAATGTGCATAGCTCTCTACTGCTTGTGACTATTCCGTCAAAGCAGAGTCTCATTCTTGTACCAAAATATATTGTCTCAAAACTATTTTCGCAAGAATTATCAGCGCTACCACTCGATTTTTTATTAATTCACATTCCATAAAAATTTTCAGCGTGCGCGACTAACGCCAGCATGTGCAACTTCGCCAATGCTCAGTCTGCATGCATCAATGGAAGCTGTGCATTTGTTAGTTGCAATTCTGGCTTTTCCAACTGCAACAACGACCTTTCTGACGGATGCGAAGTGAACACAGCTGCAAGTACCACCAACTGTGGTACCTGTAATAACATCTGTTCTTTCACCAATGCTCAGGCGGTATGCAATAGTGGCACTTGTAAAATGGGTATATGCAATACCGGATTTACCGACTGCAACAAAGATCCGTCAGATGGGTGTGAAATCAATACTGCTGCTGATCTTAAGAACTGTGGTAGTTGCGGAAGTGCTTGCTCGTTTCCAAATGCAGCTGCGTCTTGTAATACTGGCAAATGCACAATGGGTGCTTGCAACATTGGATATGCCGACTGCAACAAAAATCCGTCAGACGGATGCGAAATCAATGTTAGTGGCCTGACGAACATAGGTACCGATATAAACAACTGTGGTATTTGCAGCTATGTCTGCTCGTTTTCTAATGCAGCAGCATCGTGTATCACCGGTACATGTACGATGGGTACTTGCAACACTGGATTCGTTGACTGTAACAAAAGCCCATCAGATGGATGTGAAATCAACACTGGGATTGATCTTAAGAACTGTGGTAGTTGCGGAAATCTTTGCTCGTTTTCAAATGCAGCGGCGACTTGTAATAATGGTAAATGCACAATGGGTACTTGCAACGCCGGATTTACCGATTGTAACCAAGTCTCTTCGGACGGGTGCGAAGTCAACACAGCTGCAAGTGCCACCAACTGTGGCACCTGTAATAACATCTGTTCTTTCACCAATGCACAATCGCTATGCAATGGTGGTACTTGTAAAATGGGTACATGCAATACCGGATTTGCTGACTGTAACAAAAACCCATCAGATGGGTGTGAAATCAATACTGCTGCCGATCTTATCAACTGTGGTAGTTGCGGAAATGCTTGCTCGTTTGCAAATGCAGCTGCGACTTGTAACAACGGCAAGTGCACAATGGGTGCTTGCAACACTGGATTTACTGACTGTAACGGAGACCCATCCGATGGATGCGAAGTCGATACTCGTGGTCAAACGAGCATAGGTACCGATGTAAACAACTGCGGTATTTGCCACTATGTCTGCTCGTTTCCTAATGCAGCAGCATCGTGTATCACCGGTACATGTACAATGGGTAGTTGCAACACTGGATTCATTGACTGTAACAAAAGCCCATCAGATGGATGTGAAATCAACACTGCGACTGATCTTAAGAACTGTGGTAGTTGCGGAAATATTTGCTCTTTTTCTAATGCGGCTGCGACATGTAATAATGGCAAATGCACAATGGGTACTTGCAACACCGGATTCACTGATTGTAACAAAGTCTCTTCGGACGGGTGCGAAGTGAACACAGCTGCAAGTATTACGAACTGTGGCACCTGTAATAGCATCTGTTCTTTCACCAATGCACAGGCGCTGTGCAATAGTGGCAGTTGTACAATGGGTACTTGTAACACTGGCTTTGCTGACTGTAACAAAAATCCATCAGATGGATGCGAAATTAATACTGTAGTCGATCTTAAAAACTGTGGTAGTTGCGGAAATATTTGCTCGTTTGCAAATGCAGCTGCGACTTGTAATAATGGTAAATGCACAATGGGTGCTTGCAATACCGGATTCGCAGACTGTAACGGAGACCCATCAGACGGATGCGAAGTCAACACTCGTGGGCAAGCGAGTATAGGTACCGATATAAACAACTGCGGTATTTGCGGCTATGTCTGCTCGTTTCCTAATGCAGCAGCATCGTGTATCACCGGTGCATGTACAATGGGTGCTTGCAACACTGGCTTTGCTGACTGTAACAAAAACCCGTCGGATGGGTGCGAAGTCAATACTGGGATTGATGCTAAGAACTGTGGTAGTTGCGCGAAGACTTGCTCATTTTCGAATGCGGCTGCGACTTGTAACAATGGCCAATGCACAATGGGTACTTGTACTATGGGATATACCGATTGTGACAATAGCCCTTCAGATGGATGCGAAATTAATACTGCTGCTGATTCCAAGAATTGTGGTATTTGCAACAATGCCTGCAATTTATTTCAAGCGACTTCAACATGTAGTAGTGGAGTTTGCACCATTACTAGTTGCACTAGCGGCTATAATGATTGTGATCAAAAGTCAGGTGATGGATGTGAATCGAATTCTGCAATTGATGTCCAGAACTGTGGTGCTTGCAAAATCGTCTGCAAATACACTAATGCAATACCACTCTGCAACAGTGGCACATGCAATATGGGTATGTGCAATTCTGGCTATGGTGACTGTGACAATAATCCAGCCACTGGATGTGAAATACAAACTAGTAGTGACATAATGCACTGTGGCACTTGCACGAAGTCTTGTTCATATACTAATGCAGCAGCTGTATGCAACAATGGGGTTTGCGCCATGGGTGCTTGTGTCTCCGGATATGCTGACTGTGATAAGGATCCTTCGACTGGATGTGAAACCAATATTGCTGCTGATGTGAACAATTGTGGCATTTGCAATACTGGTTGCATTTTATCACACGCGACTCCAACATGCAGCAATGGAGTTTGCTTAATTATGAAGTGTGACTCCGGTTACGCTGATTGTGATCTAAAGCCGAATACCGGGTGCGAAATCAGCACACTAGATGATATTGCGAATTGTGGCACTTGCGGTCTTAAGTGCTCTTTGAGCCACGCATCGTCAAGCTGCAGCAGTGGAAAATGTATTATTAGTAGTTGTAATACAGGCTTTGGTGACTGTGATAATACAGCTGCTGATGGTTGCGAAGTAAACGTGCTGACAAGTGCAACCAACTGCGGCAGTTGTGCTGGTACCTGCTCGTATACGAATGCAGCCCCAGGTTGCACCGCTGGTAAATGCAGTCTTGGCACATGTAATATGGGTTATGCTGATTGTGATCTTGTCAGTTCGACTGGGTGTGAAACCAACACGCAGATTGATCCGAACAATTGTGGTACTTGCAAGAATGTCTGCAATTTACCAAACACGATGCCAATATGCACCAGTGGAGCGTGCACAACTAGTATTTGCACTGGCGGCTATAAGGATTGTAATGCAAAGCCAGCTGATGGATGTGAATCGAATCCTTTAACTGATGTCCAGAACTGTGGTGGTTGTGGAACTGTCTGCAAATACACTAATGCAATATCACTCTGCAACAGTGGCACATGCACTATGGGTATGTGCAACTCTGGCTACAGTGACTGTAGTCCAGTCATTGGATGTGAAACACAAACTAGTAGTGACGTAAATAACTGTGGCAGTTGCAACACGGCCTGTTCATTTAATAATGCAGCACCCGTATGCAACAATGGGGTTTGTGGCACAGGCACTTGCACAAGTGGATATGCTGACTGTGATAATAAGCCATCGAACGGGTGTGAAATCAATTTGAACAGTGACTCAACGAACTGTGGTAGCTGTAATTCTGGATGCAGGTATTTTAATGCAGCGGCAATATGCAGTAGTGGCAGCTGCAAGATGGGTAATTGCAATACCGGATATTTGGACTGCAATAAAAACGCTGACGATGGATGTGAAATCAACGGGTCTACTTGTCCTACGATTCCTATTGTTTTCCCCACAGCATAGCAGTTTGAAAACTTTGAAACGAATTCATTGCAAATTAAAGCTCTTATGACTTGTTTACAGTAGCGTTCTCTTTTCATTATCCTTCATACTATCAAAAAACTTTTTATTTTCGCCTGATTTGTGTTTTTTTTCAATTTTTTTTATTTCTCTGATGATGTTCATTATTCATTTTCTCTACATTTTAACAAAACGCTTAATTGCGTGTTTCTTTCTTCTTTCTGCTATTTTTTTTCTTGCATTCAAGTGAAATTTAAGTAGTGTTATATTTATCTTTATGGTTTGTTCTTAATTCATTTTTAAATAAAATACAATAGAAATCTTAATAATTTTAGTGTTTTACTCATTGAATCCCAATCAGGATAGGTAACGTCAGTTGTCAAACTTTGTTTTTGAAGGGTCAAACCATAAGGAATTTTTTAATTTTGCATATGATTTCGAGAAGAATATAGAATAGATGAACATTCTTCTAAGGGTATTTACCTATCGAAATATGAGTAGTATTCAGAAATAGAGTATAGACGAGTGTAATCCGTAGTATTAGCTTGTTACGAATGAATATATTCTTTATGTGTTTCCTCGACTATTCGTCGTTAGACTCTGGTAGCAGTTTGATTGACTGGTTAAATTTGTAGATACTTACGAAGGAACCATCTGAGGTGATACCTCCCGTTTGAGTTCATATTTTGCTTATAGGTATAGCTCATAGTGTAGATAAAAAGCCTAAAAGGATTTGCCTCTAAACTAAACGCTTTTATAGTTGAAATATTGTATTTTTAAGATGAGGGTGTGAATGTATTTATACTTTTATCACACCCACATCCTCAAATCATAATAGTATTTTATTCTGACATTCACAAGCATATCTATTTTCCTGTATATATTTTTTTTATAGAAAAATTATATTTTTGATTCCAAAATAAAAAATAGAAATTATAATTTCTTTTTTTTTTTAACATCTTCAAGATTTTGTATATACCATAGAAGATGATGATGATTGGGTGGTAGTAATTTTTGTGCAATATCTACAGCACGTTGACAGCATATAAGTGCTTTTGAGTAGTCACCCATTTTGTTATATACATTACCCATGTGTCCAAAAGACATGGCTAAATCAAGATGATTGACTGGAAGCGATTTTCGTTTAATTTTAAGGGCCTGTTCATGAGATAAGAGTGCTTTCGAGTAATCACCTACGTTATAATACATTTCGCCCATGTTGTTATAAGTAGCAGCCAAATCAAGATGATTAGGAGGTAAGGATTCTTGTCGAATTTTAAGGGCTTCTTCACAAGCTGCAACTGCTTTTCCATGATTACCCATGTTCTTATAAACTAAAGCAATATTGTTATAAGTGTTAGCTAAATCAGGATGATCAGGAGGAAGAGTTTGCTGTTGAATTTCAAGAGCTTTTTCATGATTAGAAAGAGCTTTCTCAAAGTCAGCCTTAGCCTTATATAATAAACCAAGGTTGTTGTGGGACGCAGCTAAATCAGGATGATTGGAAGGAAGTGCTTGTTTACTAATTGCAAGATCTTTCTTATAACAAGAAAGTGCTTTGTCAAACTCACGCATATTTTTATATACGACACCAATACTATTGTAAGTAGAAGCCAAATCAAGATGATTGGGAGAAAGTGATCGTTTTTGAATTTTAAGAGCTTTTTCGTGATATGAAAGTGCTTTCTCATTTTCATTTAAGCTCTCATACGCATTACCAATCCAATTGTATGATTTAGCTAAGTCAGGATGATAGGCAGAATAAATTCTTTGTTGGATTTCAATAGATTTTCCATAAAATGTAATTGCTTCCTGATATTTTCCTGAATAATATGTGGTCATTCCAAGTTGATGATAAATAGGAGCTTCTTCTTTTTCATCCGCTGTTTTACTAAGAAGAACTTCATAAATTTCTGCGGCTTTTTTGTATTGACCCATTTTAAGTAAAACTGAACCTAATCTATACCATCCTGTCTCATTTGGATATGTCTCTTCGCGAATGTAATCAGTAAGTTTGCATAAATCTTCATCACTATCACTGGTAAGTGTTAACCGTACTTCAAATATACGTTCGTCTTCATCGATTGATTTAATATTACCAATACGAAAGACAGTATGCATAGAAAAGAGAATTTCATCTTCTTCTTCATAGTAACTACAACCTTGGACTGAAGCGAACGGAGTAGTTGATTTCGATGGATCAATATTCATGATGAAGAGAATTCCTATTAAATCAGGATTTTTTATAGCATCTTGTGCAAAAGCAAGTGAGGTTTCACCATTTGAGCTGGTAGATAAAAAATTATTAAATGAAATTAGACCACTTTGAGCTTTTCTTAATTTCTTGAAATCAATCTTCGATAAGCCTTGTCCACGATAGACCTTAAACTTTTTATGAGTATTAGAATCAGCAAATTGTTCGTCGTGTAATTCTTCTATGCTTCGATGAAGATCACGAATAAAAAATCCCATTCTTATAATAATATCTCCATTCATTAATCTTAATGCACGATTGAGCATGGGACATAAAAAACTTTCACGTGTATACCAGTATATTGATTTTTTTTTGTGGTAAGTGAGTTTCAATTCTTTAACATTATCCAGTTCTTCACTATCGGCAAAAGTATCACGACAATAGTCAATGAATTCTTTTATGTGTGTCTCGTCGAATTTAATTTTTAATAAAATGTCTTTTAATATTTGAGTGTACATAAATGATGGATCTAATTGATCGTAACTTTTATTCGAGCCAATAAAGGTTAATGGCGTGGCATCTCGTTCACAATGTTTAACTGCTTTTTTTAGAGCTTTACAAATTGGTTCTATTTCCGCAAAGACGCCCTGAATTTTTTGCCATTTACTAGTCCATGATCGATGACGCTCTTCATCTTCGCAAAAGATAAAAATTGTATCCACTTGAGGCATATCGTGTATTTCTGGTAGTATACGTTTACCTAGTGAGCCAGAAATAACCATGCAAACCTTCTCATCGGTTAGCGAATCGATGAATTCGATACATTGTTCACCATCTGTAAATGGATACATAATGTCAATTACATGTCGTAGTTTTGTAATTGTGTATTGACAATCTTCATCATTCTCATCAATATTACTATCCAGCCAGATAAGAAGAACAGTTTGCATCTTTTGAATATTGGTAGATGATTGTTCAACAGGATTATTGTGAACCACATTTGAATGTTCTGCACCACCAGATTTACTACCTGCTTTTGATTTTCTGCTCATTATTGAATGTGTATGTATGTGTTGTAGATTTGAAATATCTAAAAAATTTACCTGCAAAAGAATATGCTGAGTAGCTGTTTTTATAGGTGTCTACTTCCTTCGTTTTTTTTCTTTACTTTTAAATATATTAGTATAAAAAAAAAAGAAAAATCAAAACAGACATTTGCTATTAGTAAACGAACAACACAAAACAAGGTAACGTATTGTTTTGGTAGACATTTATCGAAAAAATCCTAGAAAATGAATGATTTTGTTTGAATGAAAGGAAGAAACCTTGAAAAACATTTTTCTCTTCTCTCTATAGCCATACTATTTGAGTTGTAATATTCCTTTTCGTTGATCACTGTAGAAGCAATTTAAAAAAAAAGTAAATTCATATAGTCAACGAACGAGAAAAAAAAGAAGTGTAAGAAAAATTTTCAATGCTTTTGAGTGTTACTACAATCATAATTAAATCGGATTCGAATTTCATTTGCTTGTGGAATTTAAATGCTCACAAATGTCGTTAATCTGATAAATAAGTGTACTTTATTCGACTTCGGTGATTAAATCCTTAAAAAAAAGAAAAATCAACATGAAAAGACCTTTATTAAAGTTTTTTTTGTACACAAGCTTGCTTAATCATTCATTATTATTTTTCTTAAAATTTAAACAAATCGTTTTTGTACACCTTATAATATATTCGAATGAAAATCTCTGACAAAGGTGATATAACATTCATCTCACATTACTACTCATACACTCCGAAAATTTCAACTGTTTATTCCATAGATTACAAATAAAAGCGAACGACACTTAGATGATTCATACATTTTGCTTACAAAGCATACAATGAAAAAGAGGAATAAGACAAAATGTTTTCTTTTTCTTTCTTCTCGATCTGTTTAAATATCATGCGAGATATTTTTATCTTATCAAATAAAAGCGAGTAACTCTTCATATATTCTATTATATTGTACTTCACAATAAAAATGGCAATAAATATAGGCACAACTTTTACTATGAGCGACAACTATAATGAAAATTCTCATCCACAATTGGTAGCTGTTGATTCAACAATTCCATACATTCGTGAAGCAATTAATGTATTCGATATTCAATCTTCTTCTACTCCCTTGATTATTGCTGATTTTGGTTCAGCCCATGGATCCAATTCATTGTATGCTATGAAGATAATTATTCAGTGTTTGAGAGAAGCCAATAAAATAGAAAATGAAAAGGCAATTCTCGTTATTCATAATGATTTGCCTACGAATGATTGGATAACACTTTTTAATCTTTTAAATAAAGATAACTCATATTATAGTTTGGCTAATGGTCGATCTTTCTATGAATCATGCTTACCTCCGAATTCGCTTTCAATCGGTTATTCATCGACTTCACTTCATTGGCTTTCACGAAAACCATGTAATATATCAAATCATTGTGCATCTTTATTTGCACAAGGAAATGAACTTCGAGCATTCCAAGAACAAGCACATCTTGATTGGACTCATTTTCTTGAGTATCGTTCACGTGAATTAATTACCGGTGGTATACTTATTTTACTTATTCCTTCTATTGATGATCAAGGATCTAATGGATTCGATATTATCAGAGAAATTCTTTATATATGTGCTCAATTAATTCTTACTCCACAAGAATTACTTGATTATACATTACCAATATATGCTCGAAAATATTCCGAATGTATTGATGATGAATTATTTGCTCGTTATAAATTTGATGTAATTAAATCTGAATTTAGTTCAGTTACAATACCATTTATTAAACAATGGCAAGATAAACAAATAACATTGGATGAATTTGTTCGATTATTAACATCATATGTTCGTAGTTGGTCAGAATCAATTCTTAAACAAGCACTTTTCGAAAATAATAAATCAGAAAAAGATATTGAACAAACAATAAATCAATTTTGGAATTTATATGATCAAGAAGTACGAAAAAGATTCGATCAATTTTTAAATATACGTTCGAATGTGATCTATTTGATTTTGAAAAAAAAATAATAATTATATCTCATACAACAAAAAAAGAATTTATTAATTATCCTCTAATCAGACCACTACGCATCAATACACGTAAATCAACGGTAATTTCTTTGATGATTGTATGATTAATTACTAGTTTAGAATTAAAAATATATTTCAAAAATTCTTTAGTCAAAATAAAATCAAAAATAAAATCGATTCGCTCATGACTTCTTCGTGTTAGATGATTTCCAATAATTTTGTGAATTAACTTTTGACAATCTTTAAGTTTATTTTTAAGTAAGAGTCGATTGAGTATGAAATCAAAATTGTTGAGTCCAACAATCATTTCAATAATTTCATTAAATTCGCTATGTAATTCCATCAGTAATCGTAAGTCATCTGGATTGACTAAAATAATTCTATTGCTATAGAGTACTTGAAATTTAATTCCTGATTTCATTATTTTTTGTAATAATCTGTCTGCTATTTGATTATTGTTCGAAAAACCTTCGGCTAAAACATGCAGATTGACCAAAAGTCGATTGAAACGTGTAGGTATGAAATATTTTGCAATATATTTATTTGAGAATATTCTAATGAGCAAAAAAATAGATCGTACATATTTTTTTCTTAATTATGTTTATCAATAAAATATTCTTACTTGCATATTTTCTTTTGAAAACGAATACTACGACTTTGTGCTGTTGTATTTGTGACATGATTTGGAAATAGATTTACAGATTTTTGCTCCATATTGTTATTAATAATAACTGCAAAAGAAACACTATTATTCTGCGTTTTTTTGATATTTTTTGCAAGGTGAGTTTATCGACGAAGATCTATACACTACATTCTTTATAATAGATAAGATGATATAGAAGAGTCTGTAGGTGTTGTGTCTATAAGACTAAAATGAGTACTATAAAAAAGTATATAATAATTGATCGTCAGAGAAATAATTTATTGCATATATTTTTCGATTTTTATCAAGAAATTTTTCCTGTATTTAATTCATTCGACGTACACATCAAATTTGTCATTTCACAATGAAAAAATACCCACATTCATCTCTATAGTAGAAACATTTCATTCTAAATATATCCGAAACGTAAGATTGATGTTACATTTTTATTATTTCAAGAATAATATAAATATTCATTCTGAAATCAAAAAAGAAGTACATTGTCAGATTATTTTGAGCAACGTACAGCTCCCATATTGCTTAACATATTAGGTACTGCGACAATTAATGCTTGTAAATTTATTTGAGCTTGATTTATTTGCTCTATTGATATTTTACCAACACTGAATGGTCCCATAAATTGATTTTTTTGTAATTCATCATAAACGGCATTTAATGGTTTAACAATTGATTCCGAATCAAAAACACCTGATAATGCATTAAGGAATGTTGTTGATCCACTGAATAATGTTCGGATTTGAGTAACAACATCTGATAATTTTTGATGGATCATTATTATCATATGTTCTTCACTTGGTAGTGAAATTAATGAATTTTTTAATTGATTTAATTGAGAATTAAAATTATTTAATTGTGCTTTATTTATAGTTAAATCATTTTGTAATGAGTTGAATTCATTTCTTAATGATTGAACTAGATTTCTAAATGAAGCCAATTCATTTTTCTTATTTTCAACATTTCGTCTTGCATTATCAACTTGTTGAAAATTAATAACACTACAAACTGGTTTTACTACATTATCAACGACTGCATCAGCTACTGTATTAGCTGCTGATCCTATGGCACCAGCTGCTGTATTAGCTGCTGATCCTACTGCATCAACTGCTGTTGTAGCTGCTGATCCCACTGCATTAGCTGCTGTATTAATAGCTGATCCTATTGAATTCCATACATTACCAAGAAATCGTTTTCGTCTTCCGAATAATCCTGAACATAATTGAGCATTTGCAACTTCTTGTTCAGCACGTTGTAATGCATTTTGAGCATCGGCAACTAATCTTTCACTTTGTTGTACAGATTGGTCAGCTGCATTAATTTGAGTTTGTTTTGCTTGAATTTTTCCATTTGCATCTCGAATTTGAGTATCCATACGAGCTATTTCATTTTCCTTGGCTGCAATCTCCTGTTTAAGAGTAAATAATTTAAAATTGACTTGTACGCGAACATTATTACTGGCAGCTACAGAAGCATCAAGATTTTTTGATAAAGCTTCTAATTCACAATAAAGATTCGATCCAAATGATGTAAGTGCATTATCATCTGTTGTTAATGAATTTGAATCAATAGCTAATACTTTATCAAATATATTTTCTTTCAATGTTCTGTATACATTTTGAAATGGTGGTACAACATATGTTGACATTTCTGTTGTATACCAAATGTCGTTTGCATGACAAATATAAGCACAGAATAGTACGAAGACTATACACAATTTCATTTTCTAAATAGAAATAAAAATAATTGATCTGTTCATTTAGAAAGTGAACAACTTAGTAAAAAAGAAACGTTGTCCATATTAAAGTATTGGTAAAATTCTTTTCATATATATATTTCTATGAAAACTCATTAGAATTCGTTCTCAAAATATGAAAAAATAAAACCGAACAAGTAAAGAGTAATCTTACCCGAGGCTTACGATGATGAAAAAATATGTTAACTGATTACTCGATTTAAAAAATCGAAGGACGATTTTTTAGCGTTTATTCTTCAATAATACAATGAGAACAGCCACCTGTTATTAACCAGCGATGTTGAATATACTGGGAATCAGAGCAGATGAATAAAAAATATTTTTCGCCTACGTATTCACTGTTAGAGCTATTGGTTAAGCAAAACACAAACTGATGGTCCCATACGTATTGACACACATAATCCGAAATACGTTGTTATATATAGCTACAAGGCAAATATAATGAATTATTTCCCTTCAATAGTAAATGAATAAAAATTAAAGCAAGATTTTGTCACAGTGTAATAGGGTGTTTTTCTTGAAAAATCAGTTATTATTCTGTTTTTTTCCACTGATTATTTTGCTAGTCTTTGTTCTAATTTGATTATATATCGGTTGTAAGAGCGTAAAAATGGTGTACATATTTTATTGCCTTTAGCTTTTAAAACCATAATTATGAACGAAACATTAATTCAGTATAACCCTCAAGTATCCTTGTACCAGTGGCGAACACAGATCCACACCCTCACGATGGCTTTTTTTCTTTCACACTCTTCATGTCTTACGTCACCAAAGAATATGGTGTCTCATTAAATTATAGTTACCTGTTCGTCGAAGAAAAATAACGTCAGGTGTATTTGACGTTCTCTTGATGTTGTGACAACGTGTAAAGCAAGTTAAACATACATTTTATAAAATGACGAAGAACGAACACGATTTTCTAATTGATGGACAGACGTGTCACTTTCATGATGAAAGTCAAAACGGAATTTCCAGTGGTCATTTTCATACCAATGATCATTTTTATGTCTCAGAAGATTATCCATCGAGAAGGTGTGGATGTGGGTGTGGGTGAGAAGGATAAACACGACACCCACACCCTCAACAAGTAATAGTTGTTGCTATTCATCCAATTAATCGTAATCGTGAATATACGCATGTAAACTGGATGTATGGTATGTTAACGTTTAAAGTGAACGACAGACAAAATTAAATAGTTTGTCATCTAGGCAACAAAGCTTTGGAGGAGTTCACGATTATAATGACTATATCGTCAATTATATCAAACCATTTATTGATAGAAATTATCGAACTTTATCTGCTAGCAAATACACTGTTATTGCTGGTATAATATTATAATTAATTCATCTATTGATAATTATTTCAATGTCTATAGGTTCAAGTCATGGAGGTTTAGCTTCTTTTCATATGGCACTATCTCATCCAACAATATTTGGTATTGCTATTTGCATGTCACCTTCATTTTGGGCTGGATTAGATTGGTTGATTGGATCAACTTTGACGAATCTATTTTGTTCATTAGAAACATCAGATTTAATTCAGGTACGATTTTCTAAAAAAAGAATTTTAAATGATAATTATTGTTGTGCTCATAGAAATATGATCATATTTTACGATCAAACAAGGCTCCCCTATTGTATATTGATTGGGGTTTGTCGAGAGATTTGCATGTTCATAATTTTATTGTTGGTAAGAAAAATTATCAAAACTTTTGTATAAACATCCAACTTGTTATTGCTGTCTTTTAATATAAGAACGTTTGGCTGCCAAACGATTGAATTAGCTGATCAAATCAAAGATAATGAAAAAGTTCTGTTAACTTGTATTGATCCACATGGCGAACATGATGAAATGTGGTGGGGAAAACGATTTTTCACTATTGTCAATGTTCTTTTTGAGCACATATAGAAATTATAATAAATGATTAATAAGCAAACAAACATAGTCTTGCTACAATATTAGGAAATTATCTAAGAAAATTTTTAATTCTCTACTATTAACCTTGAAAATCATCAAATTTCTTTTTTTTATTAATCTCTTGATTATTGTTCGATAGAAGATTTTATATCGAACACTTGTAAACGAAGTTTTTCTTTAAATAAGTAATAGACTGTATTTTTCTCAAGTATTTTTTATTCAAAAATACAAAAAGATGATACATATAATCCACTGATTTTTATTATAATAGTAATCAAATACTTGTTCGATACGCAATGCTTGTTACTATACAACCCGTATCTCTTAACCTTTTACTTTTTTGTATCATATCAACAAGAGATTTATTTGTACGTCAATAATTCTTGTAGACAGAACATGTTTTTTTCTTTTTCTATCGACGTTTGAGTGATAACAGCAACAAAAAGTTCTGCTAGTATTTTTCTTCTTCAATATATCGTATAGAAAAGACAAAATAAGCGCCTGACTAAGGATAATACAAACTGGATAAACATATTGCGCACAAAAAATATAAACAGAAAGGAAAAAGAAGAAAAGCTTATAACTCACGATGTTATCAACATTCTTTTTCTTCTATGTGTAGAACTCTGTATTGAATAGATCTAGTAAGCTATATTACTATTTATCATTTATTTTAGATCAAATATAATTTTTAATTATTGATTAAAAACAATGGCTGCTATTATCAATGCTTTATTTGGTAATTATTCAGAAGTAGAACAACCAAATCCTATAACAGATACAAATCAAACTGTAGTTAGTAATGAATGTCTTCATACAGCAGCTGTAGCTGATAATGTTCATGTTAAATCTGTTATATCATCCGAAACACAAGCAAGTGCAACGATTAATACAAATTTAAATATTGATAGTTTATTAGGGCAGTTAAGTACAACATATACGCAAGTTGATGAATATTCTCGAACACGTGCAGCTAAAATAAATGAACAAGTAATTTGATTATATTTTTATTTCCATTTTTCTTTTATTTGAATATTAAATAGACTGAAAAATCTATTGCAGAAATACTTGCAAATATTCAACGTCAACAAGAAGAATTATTAACAAGTGCTAATCAACGTCATGTAATTATTGATCATCAATATAAAATTCATTTACAAAAAACTATTGAAGCATTAGATGCTGTTAAAGCTAAAACATTAGCTGATTTAGAACATGATTTACAAGCTAAACAACAAGCAATGATGAATGAAGCTAAAAGACAAATTGATAATTTAAATGATCAAGCTATTGTAGCTAAATTAAATCTTTTAGCTGACGTACAATTACAAAGTAAAATAAATATTGATGCTATTACTGATCAAGTTATAACAACAAATCAACAAGAAACTCAACATTTATTACAATCAACAACTACGACAGTTATTACTTCTGAAGCGCAATCCACAGCAAATACAGAAACAAAAGATGTAATTACTGTTCATAATGAATCACAAGTACCAATCAAAAGGTAATTTTTAAATATAGATAAAAGATATTTTACTTTTGTATTTTAGTTCAACGGAACTAGCAGTTGTTTCAGCAACTCAAGAAAATACAACTGATGTTAACACTGTCACTAACGGGTAAATATCTCTGTTTTTCGAATGAAGTATCGAATAAAAATATTCATCTTTATTTTTTTCTTCGTAGAACATCTAATTTGAATACAAAATCAATCAGTCCTATTGCTACTGCTGCTAATGTAACGCTTAATAGCAATGCAGTCGAATCGATCGTTACAAATGCGCGTGAAAGAAGCAAAGATAAGACTGTTCAACCTGTTGTCACCACCTCTGATGTAACTGTTGCTGCTGCTGCCGCCAATGTAGCACTCGACAGCAATGCAGTCGAATCGATCGTTACTAATACGGATGCAAGAAGCAAAGATAAGATTGTTCAACCTGTTATCACCAACTCTGACGTAACTATTGCTGCTGCTGCTAATGTTACCCTTAACAGCAGTGTCATCGAAACGATCGTTGCTAATGCACGTTTAAGAAGTCAAAAATAAGATTATTTCATCCACAGATGTCATTCTACTGGTATGACCAATAATAACAATATTAAATAAAACCAAAGTCAAACAAACACTGCCACCAGATAATGCAACCTTTTGAAATATTTATATTCACTTTATTTATATCCTTTGCTTTTACTAAAAGTTCAACCCATCCTATATATTCTTATTATTTTTATTAAATTATTCTAGTCACTGTACTTATGCTAGATGATACTATGAATATTTGAGACTTTCGAGTATTAATCAGCAATATTCATGTTAGAATGGGTGGGTGAATGAGAATATATTATGAATAATATATTTATAATACTTGCGCCTAGATTCTCAATAGAATGAAATGACAAAATAATAAATGAAAAAAAAGAAGACGACTACATTTTGAGTAAATTAATTGGCTAGTGAATGTATAGGATTGTCGAATCAACGGATGTCAATGGTGGATGAGATTTTCATTATAGCTTTTAACCATAGTGTAAGTTGTGTCTATATTTATTACTATTTTTTTGTGAAGAACAGCAAAAAAATATATGAAAAACTATTTGCTAAGATAAAAATAGGTAAAGTAAAGTTTGTTTGAAACAAGTCACGAAGAAAGAAAAAAAAACATGGTTTTTATTTCTTTTTTTTGGTTGTCCTCTGCTTTATAAGCAGAACGTAAGAATAAATGATGTGCATGAATCATCGCGCATTTCTAAAAGAAAAATAATTCAGTGTTGTTATTCTCTATTTACCATATATAAAGTGAATAGTGGAAGGTCTGTTGTTAATAATGATAAAATAAGGCAATAAAACCATCCTGGGAATGTAAGTTTTGATCTGAAGAATAAGATAAGAATTTACCCACATACATTTTCTCGAGATTGTTGTGTAGAATATTCATACTAGTGATATCAAAATTGAACAGCTCACTAAAAAATTAGAAATTGTCAGTCTCGCAAAATTTTCGAGAGCTAAAGGATTAACAATAGAATAAATGAATGATATTGTTTTATATTGCGGTCACAATTATACCTCCAAAATGCACAATTTTTCTTTTCTTTTTTTAACGGAGAGGAAGACGAAGAAATCAAAATGTATACTTTATTCTGTTCTTTCTCCTGCAAACAAGTCAATCGTTTATAATAACGTTTGCTCTTTTCACACTGTTCTTGTACATTTTTAATTTTAGATTTTTGATCTAAAAACAAGTATGACGGAATTAGGAAGACATGGTTATAATCATATGATAGTATGGCTTGATGAAAACATAGCTTCACCTGATCACTATCATGACTTTAAAAAAGTATTTGCTACAACAACAAATCCTGAATCAACACTACAAGAATCACTTGTTGATGTAGATATTAATAATCTTATTCATGATGATGTGACACGACGCGATACAAGTTTTCTTAATGTTCCATTTCCATTTATATTGTTCGATAGTATAGATCCGTGCCTTGCTTTTCTTCAGAAAAATGCTGGTGAGAAGCGTATTTTCTTTATGACTTCTGGTGACTTAGGACAACATATCGTACCGGCTATTCTTAACAATCATCAAAGTATTTTTCAAGATAAAAATGGTAATTTGTATGAAGATTCTATTTATATTTTTTGCGCTAATATGACCGCTCATATTGAATGGGCACGACAGTTTTTGGACTTCTGTTGTATCAAAATAATAACTGACGATCGACAAATGTTAGCTCGTCTTACTCGTGATATTGCTAAGTATTTGTCATCAAAAGGAGAAGAAGAATTGTCCAACAACAATTTATCGGCTATCACATTGGCACTGCAATATTTTAGTTGGGCACATAATCTTTATCAGCAAGCGGATAAAGTTAGACCAGGATATCCATCTAACGATTCAAGAAATCCAATAAACATTCTAAAGCCGTTGATTGCCAAGGCGGAACAGAAACTTCGTGAACTACAGACCAATAGCAATGATGACGATGATGGGGAGCAAATGAGCGTTGAAAATTAATTGACTTTGCTATTTTCTTCAGATTATATGTGATAGTATAGTTATGCCATCTGTAATAGCCTAATTCGTCTCTTGTAGATTTAATTCTTTTTTATTACAGAAATAGTATTTTATGTTTGCTATTAAAAATAATTATGATGTTTAGTTTTTAATCTCTTAAACATGTGAATATGAGCAAGGCAGGAATATAACAATCATGCTAAAATTACAAATAAAAAGAGTAAATCTAGTATATCTTTCTTAATGTCTGCGAAGATAGGAAAGAATAAATATTAATATCAGTTTTAGAATGTAGATATGAGTAAAGTAAATTTCAATCTGCATCTATACTTCGAAAGATAATCAAACATAGATAATACAAAATAAAACTAGTTTACAAAATGTTCAAAGGTAAAGATATCAATAAGTAATTGATTGAAAAAATTTCAGATAGTAGACAAATATTTTGTGTTCAAGAACTTATTGTCTTATAAGCCTCAAAGACTACACTCTCATATACACGTATTCATTACTTTGAAAATGTGTGTGTATATGTAAATTTACATATTGTTATGATTCAAAAAGGAATATAAGTTCTCTTCTACTGAAACTGATAAATTCTATCTAATTCATATACCGAACTATTTAATCTCATCCATTTAAACAATTATCCTGCTGAATTAAATTTAGTAACTGACTCGACTATGAAAAAAAGAGAGGTTAGATAGCGTCGTTGATGAGATATCGAGGTGGGATTTGAACCCACGTATCCGTTAGGATAAAGTGCCTAAAACTTTTGACTTGGACCGCTTGTCTACACGAAGGAATCAACATACAAAGCTAACCATGTAATATTCATATAAATTATGAGTATAATAACTGATATATTTGAAGATTGTGCAATTACAGCGAATATATTCTTTCCGTTAAATAAAATTGATTATGTATGAATATTGTCTATTTTAGACAAAAATGGTCGTGAGTATTATTTTGATTCAAAGTAACAGTTTTCACTCATAATTAAACAATTTTTTCAATTAGTTGTATTCTTATTATCTCTAAAAAGTTTGGATCCATCCTAATATGCAGATAATGATAATTGTTTTAATTGAAATACTGTTAGCCATTAATCTTTTCAAATATGAATTCAAGATATTTCTCTAAATGAATATATTTGGACTTTATTCAATTCATATAAACATACACGACTGTCTTCTTTTATTTGAAAGCAAAAGATTTTATTCTTTAAAAAAATAGTATAATCAAAGGAGTAAATAATTTTAAAATTTTTGTTACAACAAAAGACATATATAAAAATTGAAGTTATGATAATTGTTTTCTTTTCAATGGACTTGTCACTAAATTTCGAATTATGTTTAACTATGTTTTACATAGCTTGATTTGAAAACACTAACGATGATACTGGGCACAGCTGACTCCTTATGCGGTTTGGAGGCAACTAAGCCGGCTGTACCGTTTGTCATATCTGTAGAAAATGCAATTTCGATTTTATCGCCAGCTTTGATTACGATAGCAACTTGGGAAACTAAAACAGAAGTATCTTTATTTACCGTTTGAATGGTGTTCGAATTTGCTATGTCCTTTCCATTTAGTTTCATCCACAAGTGTACATCGCCAATACCATCTTCTTTATCACTTCCACACTGAGCAGCAGCCATCATAAAGTAAGTTCCCGACTCTTCGAATTCAAGAATACCATTATCATTTTTGATACATTCTAAACCGTCATTGTTATCAAGTTTAACTGTTTTTGGAGTTATACAACCCCATTGTGTTTCTGAACTAGATAGTTGTGCATATGGAATTGGTTTTTCTTCGTGAAGCAATTGAAATGTTGAAAACAGTATACTAAGCACTCTTGGTTCCTTCTCTGGCGTCGAGACAATCGCACCTAGTTTCTTATTTGTAGTTGAGAACATCATTTGGATTTTATCGTTAGCTTCAAGTTTAATCGCTACCTGACTAATTACGATTGCTGCACTACCATTGCGGATAGTTTGAATTGAGTTACTGTTTGGTATATCTTTTCCATTGCGCCGCATCCATAAATGAATTTCACCCGATGCATGAGTACCTTCAGCGCTTCCAACCTCGGTATTAGCTAACAAAAAATAAACACCTGCTTTACTGTACTTGATGGCTCCAGATTCGTCATCCGTTGTTGTATCTATTTTATTGGCTGCAATAACACCATCGAGTATAATCACCTCTGGATCCGAGCTATCCAAGTGAGTTTTCGAGCTGAATAGCACTGCATAAGGAATTGTGTTAGTACCATGACTGAGTTGGATAATCGTGAATATTACACTAGGAACTAAGGGTTCCTTTTCTGGTTGTGTAGCAATCAAGCCAAGACGGGTACATTCTTCATCTGCGTGACCTGAGTAAACTACTTCGAATTTATAATTTGCAGAAGCCTGAAAAGCTACTGAATACACAAAAACCGATGTACTTCCATGATCAACCGATTGTATACCATTTGAGTCAGGCACATTGGCACCATCTTGTCGCATCCATATATCAACTTGTCCTTTACCGTTTCTACGTGGACCACCAATTTGAGCGCCCAACACTAGGAGATAAACACCGTCCTTTTCAGTTACAAACGTGCCATTGTAGAAGGCAGTGAAATCACGCGATCCATCATTACTATTGTATGTGATTACTTTTCCTTTTGAGCCACTTATTTGACTCTTTGAACTTGATCCTTGAAAGTATGCAACGTTATCAATTATTTTGTCATTACCTTCAGTGATCAATAATTCGTTGCAAAGGACAAATAATACCAATATTATGCTTAATATGTTGTGTTGTTTTTCCATGTTATAAAAATGAAACTTATTGTGTAAGTTTATTTTAAATATAAATAATATAAAAACAACCAGTGTTTGTTTGAAACAAAAAATACTGTTATCTCAATGCCGAATAATATAATGAAAAAGAATTCTTAATATTTTTTTTATCCAAAAGCTCACCTTTAAATAATAACTCGAGAAGGATCGTTTAATAGCTGTAATAGATAAGAAGCAGGCGAACGTCTTCGAGTGAGATTGATGATTATACCAAAAAATGCATCATCGTCACAATGATATTACTGTCATGTGATATTATTCTTCTTATCATCTTTTGTTTTTTATGTATATACACAATTCTTTTCTAACTTCAAGAGGAGCGGTAGGCATACAAGATTTTAAATAAAGTTTTATAATTGTTGAAATGATGGCCCATCACAGCTGCATACTAAACTCGTATATGCCGATTATTTTTTCATATTCATTACCAATAGAGAAAGTAAAAACATAGAACAGCGATATGCGACTCGAGGATCAGAGCAAATAAAGAGATGCAAAGTATCACACCAGCTGATGTTTAGGGCCAATGTATACAAAACGATATTTCCAACAGATAAGAATGAGAAGACAAAAGCAAACTCAAATTATTGTGCTTGACAAAAGTACGAGGTATAATTTCAAAAAAAAGGTGTTGTATGATACTCTAACAGATTCTCTTTATGGAAATGAAATACTTGAAGTATTTTTTGGTTCAGTACAAAATAGAAATTTGTACCAAACCAACTTTTAATAATCAATACAAAGGTTTGATAAAAGGAACCCTGTTCCGAACCAGTTCAGTATCTGATGTTTCACACTGATTCTTTATTTCGTTAACCAAGAAATCAATGGACAACGAAGGATTCTGTCTATATGCTTATGTGATCTAGGCTTGCTGTTTTTGATATACATAGAGCTCTAATTACCTAGAAGATACACTCTAAATTGTCTGAGCATATCAACAGGTTTACTCTTCTTATAAAATAAATGAAACCACTATTTTATTACCGAGGTCAACCTATAATGAAAAGTAAAATGATTAATATTATATAATAAAGTTGCCTCCGATTTCAGCATGTAAGTAAGCATGCGTGGAGCTCGAGAAGGAACCGAAAGGCCCGGTCTCGGTATTCTCGGACTTGGTCATTCTTGCTACGGCGCATCCTGGGCTCGGCCGTAATTTTGATGGCTGAGGCGAATTTTTAGTGACGTACGTTAATAAAAAGTAATATATATATCATCCATTGAACTTCTCTGTGGACTTCGTCTTGAGATAAAGATATATGGATGAATATGTGAAAATGTTATTTTGAAAATAGATCGATCTGCCTTAAAAAAAGACAAATACAATATATTGATCTCAACAATTTCTTTTCAGGAATCGATTCATATAATCAATATAAATAATCTTTTCGAAATATGTTTAGAAAACAAAACTCTAAATGCAAAAATTTTATTTTGTCCACATGATTCATCTTATTTATTTTTAATTAACAATCTGATCAGGTCTCTATATACCTTATGAATACTTTGAGAAAAGTAAGTGTTTTTGATATCATATATTGGTTAGCTTGATATTCACTATGTAACAGTAAATTGATTTCGTATGAGCTGAGCCAAAGTTTGTGTTGATTAAAACAGTGTTCAGTACTTCGTATCGTACTGCTGTATACATATACACAATATCAAAAAAATTAGAGGTAGACGTTTTTCATTTGACTTTGAAATTGAATGCTTCAGTTAACAATGAAATAAAATTAAGTACAATAAGAGTTTGAATATCGGTAGATATCGATGTATATGAATAATTAGAATGAGTATTCAATGTATTCTTTACATTCATATCTATATCGTCATTCACAGTTACGTACTCACACGTATGGATTACTTTTGATCCATTGTTCATTAAGAGTGATTGATAACTTCAGCCGAATATCACGTTACCACAATTATTGATCTTTTAAATTCATATGTAAATATTTGATAATTAGATATCTCAGATTTCAACAAAATATTCCCTCTACATTGACTCTCATCCTGAGAATGTGGGCTTGGGTATGAGTGGATGCGGCTTTCTTCTTTTTTCTCAAAAAAGTATATAGTATCGTTCTGTGTACTTTTCATACATATATAAATTTTCTAATACAACTTAAACGCTCTACTAGGACTGATAGTTGTTTAATCGAATGTACAAAAATAAACTTCAACTGCAAATATTCCACAATCAAGATAAAAGCTTTCAATTGTATTATTTTTATTAAACAACTCATTATAAAATGATACACAAAAATCTGAATTTCTTGGAAATTAAAATTTATCACAAACTCCTCAACATATGTACTGTTCATCAAAATAGTGTTTCTAAGAGTCGTTCTCGTCCAACATTTGTCAATCGTAATCTTGATACATAATCATCTCGATTAATATAACCACCACACATTCGCCGATGTCCGGTAAATGCTGATCGTCCATGTAAAACTCTCCAATTATCAAAAATTACTGCTCGTCCCGGCCGCAACTGTTCCCACATTTCACCATCCTTTCTTGTCAAGATCTCGTTCCATTTTCGAATAGCATCGTAAAAAAGTGTCACATCATTAGGATCACTCCACTGATCCATAATGCTTCGGTCTTCATTATTCCATCGAATTTGTTGTAATTGTCCAGTACTGTTATCATGCGTAAATATTGAACGCGGCATAGATGGTTGAATGAATGTTTCTTTGTTACCACTACTATGTGAAGGAATTGGAATATGCGACAAGATTCGATAGGCATTTGGATCTTCTTCGCATAAAATCTGAGCGGCACGAAAACCATCGACTAACAATGATTTCCCACCTTCACCATCAAATTCAAGTAAATGGAAAAGCTGCAATCCTGCTGGATCAGTAAAGTAAGTTGTGTCGGTGTGAGCACCAATTTTTAGACCGGTGTATGCAAGATCTGCTTTTGCTAAGTTCGAAGTAAAGTCCCAAAAACCACCATAGTGAGTTGTTCGAATAAATGCAATTCGACAGAGAAGTTTTTGAGTTGATTCTGGATTGACAGGGATCCCATCAATAAAACAGAATCCATATTTTTCAATCTTTGACGTCCATTCAGCGACTCCATCATCAGACTTCATCACAGTGTCATACTCGACGACAGGTGGATTTTGTTGAATCTCATGATTCCATAGTTGTTTTTTAGGTAGAAATGTCTTCTGAAAACGAGGATTATATGAATGTCGTTGCAACCACGACCATGGGTAGAAACTAGTATGAGTTTGGTGATTCCAGTGAATCGTTAGTCCGTCTTTAGACTGTTCGATAGCCGTCGATTTGATGTCACTTGGAATTTCGAATGTATTCAATAATCGTTGTTTCGTCAATGGATGTAAGCATTGCTCACATTGGCAGTGATCACGTAGCCAAATATTATGGTACGTGCTTGCTATATTGTCTGCCCAAGATACTCGAACAGATGTTGGTGATATTAAAACTTGATCATAATGAATAGGATATTTCTCGACGATAGTTTTGGGAACAATCGAAGCCATATGTTGGCCTCGCTTTATCGTTAAAGTTTGCCGTGGAAAAAAGCGTAACGCTCTGAGAACCATTCCGTGAAGATTGTTTGCCATTGGTAGGATAGAAAATTAGTAATAACTAAAAGAATACCAAAGATATTATTTCTTGAATTTACACACTCTCAATACGGATGACATTATCTTTATTGTATTTTGAAGAAATAGCATAAAAATATAGTTTTATCTCTAATCCAATACTTAGATTTCTGATCGAGATGTTTAGGTGGATAAGGCAGAGATCCTTCAGCTCAGATAGGTACAATGGTCATACACTCACTGATATCATCCAGTTTTTGTCGGATTGATTATTTTTCCAGACAAAATAAAACGATACATTAGGGATAGATATCAAAATATAACCGAACTACAGCTATTCTCAAACTTCGACTTTCTCTAGAATAAAGTAGGTAAGTACTCTTAATTCTCGTTCTTAATTCAAGAGATAAGTAGCAAACTTGTCAGTGATATAAATGTCTCGCATCGAAAGTGTTTCAACGATATACTTACACGGTTAATTTCGCCGACTCAAATGCTAAAAACGTAGGTTTTTAAATACCTCTTCCTTTTGTATATGCTTAAATAGAAAAAAAAATACTTACTCATGATGTAAGCGTAGGCTCTTATCTATACTATTGTTATGATACAAAACTTGTGACTACTGAGATTTAAAGGAATGGAATTTGTCACATGGTCATTTTTATTTACTAAATTCTTTGCATCGTGACAAAGATAACAGAACTTTGTATGAATAATAATGTATATATATTTATATAAGTCATACGACATGAATCGAACTTTCATTTTGCGAACTTTATATGAATCATCTGACATATCTCATTGTAAAATAATAAGAACGAGTTATCAGATAAAATGGGGCAGATTTTCGTACAGGTTATAGTCATTTTGTTAAATTTTAATATACTTTCAATAGTATTTCAATGTTCATATCAACGTATTTTTTAAAACTCTATTTAATAGAAAATCGAAGTGTACTTATTAGTACTTTACTTTCATGAGATTATGAAATAATTGTTCAGTTCATACAGACATCCTTACAATATTTTTTTATATTTTAACTGGTTTCTTTTTGCACTGACGACGTCTCTTTTCGTGATACTCTGCACATTTTCGTCGTTCTGTATAAACGCAGATCTTCAAAACATCGACATAAATACGTTTATCATATAAGAAAAACAAAAGAAAAAGAAGAAGTAACACAGGTGTGCATAATAGATCTTGTATCAGACAACAACAACAACAAGAAAACACATCAGGTGATACCTACTAGATTACGAGTGTTTAATTCACGATTTTTCTTCGATGTATTGACGTAAGGTTGTGGAAATATAATAATAAAAGTTTGGGATGGTTATCATAGACTTTACATCAGATAATTGCTAATTTTGGCGGAGTGAATTTAAACATTAATGAAGCTTCACTTTTCAAAAGTTTCTTCTCGACAAAGCAAGACAAACTACAAAAATTCGATGCAAGGGAGAAAGTGCAGAATCTTAGAGGGTCCTACAGAATGCTAGGAAATTTTATAGGATCTTAGAATTCTCAATCTAAACGCTTATATATATATATACTGCTATTTTTAGCAAGCCTGCTAAAACAAATCAACAACTAATAAAAAAAAATCTAATAATATCTTCCGTAATTTTATAATTGAGAATCCTTTTTTTAGATATCGTGAAGTTACAAATGAACCATATCATATATTATTTTAGCTTTGGATATTATACCATTGCTGCTATCTCTCTCAACACATTTGAATCGAAGAATAATAAATATTTTTGAGAATAACAGATATGAAAAAAAAAGAAATAATAACTTAATTTTATCAAACACCTTATTTTGGATAAATGATAATAGAATGTCGTTCTCAGATGTTTTTTCTTCTCATGAAACTTGCGCAAATAACAAAACGTTTTTAGATAGATATTTATGATGTTTTTCTTTTCATGATAATTGTATGATTTATTGAAAAATGTTTATGAAAATCTATATACTTTTGAGTTTAGTCTCGCTCTTATGCAAGGCAAACGTTATACCTGTTCAAGACCCGAAAAATGTTCCTAATCTATTTAATTTACCTGGGATGTTAGCAAACAATCGAAGTGATATTCAATTAATTGAAGGTGATGTTGCATTACCTGTGCATACTGGTCGTACAGTATATACTCCTTCTCCAAAATGGCCTAATGGTATTGTACCTTTTGAATTCGATGGACCATTCACAGATGAACAAAAAAATATTATTATCGGTGCAATGACAACTATTAGTCAAAATACAAACAATTGTATTCGATTTGTTTCGCGTGCCAATAATCCAGTCTGGTTACGAATTCATTCTGGACAAGGGTAAGATGAATGGAAAATTATGTTTTTTCTTCTTCTATAAATACAAACAATTTAATAAATCTAGATGTTGGTCATATATGGGAAAGGCTTTCAGTAGTGGTAAACAAGATCTATCATTACAGATTCCTGGTTGTGTACATCATTCGGTTTCTTTACATGAATTTTTACATGCACTTGGTTTTGTTCATGAGCATACACGTCCTGATCGTGATACATATGTTCGTGTCTATTATGAAAATATTGAATCGAGTTAGATAAAAACGTAATGAGAAAGTTTGTGTTAATTTTTTATCTTTTTTACAGGTCAATCGTATGCATTCGATAAATTTCCTTCAAATCAAGTGAACACATATAATCAAGCATATGATTATGGTATTAATCTCGTTCTAAGGCATTTTACAGATTCATAAAGACTTCTATTTTATTTTAGGGTCAATCATGCACTATCGAAGTGATGCTTTTTCAATCAATGGTCGCCCAACCGTTAAGCCTGTGTTAGCTGGATATGAAAATTGGGAACCTTTTATGGGTCGTGGTGATAAAATGAGTGCTCAAGATATTCAAAAATTAAAAGCATACTATGGATGTCCATAATAATAAATCTGAATTGTTTGTTTTATGTTTTTAAAATAAACGATTATGAGAGAAATGGTACTAAGATAAGAGTCAAATACTAAAAAAAGACTTGACGGTGAGACATGAATCTTAGCGATAAATGAAGCATTTGAATTCACACTTAAGCTATTCGTATAATAGTTTCTATTGTGTAGGTTGTTGATCTTGAGATTAGATGGCTGTGAGTGTGAACGATAAGACCATTTCACTTACACCCCAGATAATACAGATCTTTGACATAAGACGTGCCATTTGCCACATTGTTTAAGATATAAAATATATGTTTCTGTTATATTCTCTAACTCCAAGATTAATTGAAATGAATCTATCGAGTAACAATGCTTGATACAATTAACCGATACCTAGTCTATTTATTCACTTGAAGATGTGATGCAGCTGCTCTAGTAAGTTCCACAGTATTACTTATTCAGCTTTATCCAATAGTATATGTGGATTTTCTGTAACTCAAACTGTATATATGATGAGAAAAGCGAAAATAGTTGTTTTTTTCTATATACACTGTAGCGGATTTGCTAGGTTTATATATAGTTGTTTAGAAATAGAAACTTTTTTTAGGAATTTGGTTGATAACTTTTGTTTCATGTTGTTTTGAAGATAAATTACGCGAATGTTAAATAAGTCTAATGATCACAATGACAAAGCGAAAACTTTTTTCAAGTTTTATATACCAAAGGTTCAATCTTCATCTCAATGGTTCATAAAAACTAAGCTAATTTCGATCTGTTGTCCGATATTTAGTATGAAACTTAAACGAGACATTGATAATCGATCTCTAAATCTCGCAAAGACTTAATTTATTGTTCAGATAAATCTATCAATACATGTAGGTATTATTAAATATTAAGTTGGTGAATCATCATTTGGCATTTTTAAATAATAAAATTCACCGAATTGATACAATAAACAGATATAAATATATGGGTCAATAATACTGATATTCATACGTTACGTTACAATAATGGCCACAATATCTTTTAAGATATCGACTAAAGAATAAATTTTCATGATTTGCTTTGAACTCAGATATAATTAATTGATTAAGAATTCTATTGATAGATAAACATTTAAATGGAATCAAAACAATTTAATGCTCGTTTATTAAAAAAATCAACAATTACAAATACTCTCTCATTAGTCTATCAGTGTACATGAATCAATGAATACAATATCAACAGCGAAAAGTATCATTTTCATAAACACAAAGACTAATTAGATTAATTTGAAAAACAAAACAAGACATAAAAAACCTAGATAAAGATATATATACAGCAATTTTCTTAAGCCATCCATTGTGATGAGTACTAAATAAGTATTCTTTTCCGGGATCACTAATAAAACGTCCTTGATCTTCGTTTTTTAAAAACCAATTGACAGCCTCTTGTGGTCCATTACATGGTCCACCCAATTTCGATTCAGCACAAAACATAGTATGCCATTTATTGGATAATCGAGTATCTTGTACGAGAATATAATTACCGATATTTGGCAAATAATTTTGATAATAAACTAATTCATCATAGACACTTTCAGCATAGTGATCACCATCAAGCGAAATAAATACATTTGTAGGTTTCATTTCGATAAATGTACGATTAACGATTGACTTTGCTGCTTCTGTTAAACTTCCATGTGGAATAAAAGTTATATAAGAAGCAAGAAGGGGATATCGATTAATAAAGGCCCTTGCGTCTTCGGTCATATCCATAGTTACAATTTTAAATGGACGAACGTTTTTTGTACTTGCATTATATCGATATTGGTACATGATTGACGCAAAGAATAGAGTAGCACCGCCGTGATAAGTATCTGTTTCAAAAACTAGATCAATATCTTGATCATGTAGAATCTCGGCCATTGTAATTGCATCATTGGGATTTTGCAGAAAGGGAATTCCAAGAAATGTTTTCTTCTGCCTAAACAAAGAAAAATAACTCAATAATAAAAGTAAAAATAAATTGTTATTTAATAATGTCGAACTCGAACGTTGATTTCAAATATTACATATATATTTTATAGATTTAATATTTATCTTTCTACTGAATTTGACGTATTATAAAAATACTCGTACTAGTTATACAACATATTTATATTTTTTTGTAAATAAAAATACTTTGATTTAATTCAAGTTTAATTACTGTTGCTACCAATTTACATCAAATTCCTGATTTCTGATTTTTCTCGAATAAATCTCCAGATATCGATACATATCTTAAAACTAGCAGTTTACTTTCTGTATATAATTAAAACTTATTTTAGAAATAATTTCAACAAAGACGTCTGCATACTTCACAGTATCTTAAGAATGATTTCTGTTTCTTTACTTTTTTTTTAATATTGTGGAGTATACATATATATTTGTTGAAACTATTTCTGTTATAATTGAATTATTATTTCCAAATTATCATATTCCACTCTTTTTTGCAATGATAGACTTCAGAATGATAGTTAATGGTAGCTATAATATTCCTGATTTCCACCGTTAGTTCTAATTTATAATTTTGTTTTGAAAATTTTGACACATAGAGTTTAAAATTAGTATCAATTTAGAAGCTGTCATCTTATGGGAACGACTAAAGAGACCATTAATACAGTTGAATGGAATCTTGAATAATATTTAAAGGTTTCTATACAAATCTATAATGCTTGATCTGCTTATAATATTTTGAAAATATGCACACATGTATGAGAAGATTTTCCATTATTAATATCTACACCAACACTCTAATCGTATTGGTATTGTTATATTCCTAAGTATAGCAATATACATATCGCTAATGAAGTATTGATAATATTAAATCGTAGGTTATATCATTAACATAAGTGATCTATCTTCTTAAGATATGTGTTAAGAGAACAATTACTTACACTCAAATTTCACAAAACGTCGATTGTTCTAACTAAAACATGTTTATTTTAGATTATATTTTTTTTTCACTAGATTTTTTCTCTCGTTCATGATTTCATTTTATTCACAGCGTCTCGATTTGTGTACACGGTATTGAATATTCAAAATCGATTTAACATCTTCGTTCTCTACGGTAAAAGCATGACAAAAAAATATTATTATGACGCTGTTACCCAAGAGGTATGAATTTTCGTTTTCTTTTGTCGCATAGTAGAAGAAAAAAAAATAACATAGTGAACGTTAAATTTAAGGTAAACAAAGAGAATGCAATTCATCATTTTACTGTCATTACATCTGTTATACGATGGAAATATTATTATTGATAATATGATGTATAAAAATAATTTTCATGTAGAGAATTTATATTTCTTTAAATCTTGATTATAAAATATTATTTATCTATGTTAAATAATTATACAATAATTCTTTTGCTTACCGTTGAACGATTTTCTTGATTGAAGTTAAGTTTTAGTAATCGTCGTACATATGTTTTTATTATCATTCTCATATTTATACTTTTCTTCCTGTATGAAGAACGAATGAAAAACAAAAATTCATTGACATAAAAACATCTTCTAAATAATCTAATTGTTAAATGAATATGTTGATGATCTTCTATTTTACACTTAAATTTCTTTAGCTTTTGAAAAAGTAGTAAAATAAAACGATTTTTACCTTTTTTTTTTTTAATAATCAAATTGATGAGTAATCAAAGTCCAAAGGGTATTAATCGATTTTTTTTCTCTATCTTTCTACATACATTTGAAATTCCAGACAAAATTAACTGTAATCAAAACACGTATGCCTTATTGATTTATATTGGAAAAAAAATCAGAATCATTTTTTTAACAACAAAATTGTATTTACACGTGGTCAATGCATAAAATGTGTTTATTTTACATTTCTTGCTTACCCAAATTGTATTGTTCTTTTTTAAATTTCAAGATTCATTCAACATTTTTTTTATAAACTCGATTGAATATTCGTATAACAAATGCAAGTGACAATGAGTAGAAATCTTGATAAAAAAAAAGGAAATCAATCAGCATATCAAATGATAAGTAATCATATAAAGATACAATTAGGATTTTATTCAAAATTTATCCAGTATATGTCTGTCTATACTTTACAAAGCTTTTTACTCGATGAGACTAAAATAATAGTAAATACATTTATACTGATCAAACGTTTTCGTGAGAAGTTTAGGTTGTTTTAGAAAATTTTTAACTGGAAATTAATGTTGTATGCCGAAATCATGTAAAAAGTAATCTAAAACAATATTTTATTTTATATTAAAGTTTTTTCAACTCGGTTTTTAATAATTTATCGTTAAAATGTATTCAAGATTGAAGAAGATATCTGATAATATTATTTTAAATTATTATAAACTTTTAAATAACATGAATTAGTAAGAGTATTATGTACATGTATATACTCAATAATACTTTTGTTGACTGACACGTGAAGTAAATATGGAGAAAAAGCATTGCGTATCTTTCTCAAGGACACCTCATAAAACTGATAAATTATATTTTGTAAATACAATATCCATCTGTCAATTCTCAAAGGGATGATACAAAAAAGTTAACCACAATACAGAAAAGTACCTCTGTTTCGGAATTAACCAAGCATATCACATCATACAATTAATCGAATCGATTACTTAAAAAACAGAAAATAGGGAGAATATAATGGGATAAAAAATATGGTTAGTATAAGAAAAAAATAAAATATTGACAGGTCCACAAAAGAAATTTTGTTGATTGTGTGGTATATAAACACAGATATTTTATGGTTTTTATTCACAATTGTTCTATTGGTAATCGTTGAATAACTTTTCTTACATCGTATTTATAATCATGTCCGACTCCGAATTTCGTCAAGCTGATACTAATGGTGACAACTCATTAGATATAAATGAATTCCGTAATTTTACTGCACAACGCAATAATAATGGTGGTGGTAATGGTTTTACATCAAATTCATCATCATTCGAATCATCATCATCATCAGGAGGAGCCTTAGGTGGAGCTAGCTATGGAGCTTCTTATCAAGGTGAATCTGGTTTAGCTGGTGGTGCCGGATATGGAGCTGCAGGTTTAGCTGGTAGTTCCGGATACGAATCTTCAAGCTTTTCTAGCAGTACTGGATACGGAGCTGCAGGTTTAGCTGGTGGTGCCGGATACGGAGCTGCAGGTTTAGCTGGTGGTGCTGGATATGGAGCTGGAGGTTTATCTGGTGGTTCCGGATACGAAGCTTCAGGCTTTTCTAGCAGTGCTGGATACGGAGCTGCTGGTGGTGCTGCAGGATATGGTGCATCATCATCAGAATCTGTAAATACAACTTCAGTTCAACGATATGCAACAGATGCACAAGGATTATTTCAAGATAGTAATCCACAAATTATTCGTCGTCCAGCTCCAGGTGGCCCACTTACTTATACACAAAACATTCGAGTACGATTTCTTCAACCACCACCAATTCCACCACCAGGCGTAAGTTATTTTATTTTCCTTTGTTTATTTATTAATCTTTTGTATTATAATTTTTTTAGCCACTCATTATTAAAGAAGTGCGTCCACCTCAACCACCAGTACAACCACCTCTTCGTATTCGTCAACAAGCTCCCCCACGTCCTCAACCACCTCCACTTATCTTACGTGAACGACCACC